TAAGGTTTTTAAATAAACTTAAAGTATTTTTAGGAATCGAGTAGGAGATTGGTGTTCTTTATATAGAGTTGAGTAGGTGTTTAAGGTTTTTAAATGTGTAATTGAGTAGGCGATTGGTGTTATAAGTAACCTTGAGGAGGTTAATATTGAGTATAATTTGCGATGTTTTAAGTATGTTAAATATAGGATAGAAAGGTTGATTAGCAGGTGATAGATAGGCTGTTGAGGAAGATGTTTGGTTGAGGTTTCGAGTAGGAGTTGGACAAGTGAAGAGGAATCTAAGATGGCAACATTTTATATATATGTTTGAGTGGTGGAAGTTATTAGTTTGGTTATATTGAGAAAAAAATATTTTATAGAATTGATAAAGTTCTGTTGTAGTAATGTCGTGTATGAGTTTATAAAATGTTAATGTACAAATAGGTATTTATGGTGGTATGGGTAAATTTACAAAGTCATGTTAGTGAATATTTATTTTTGGTGTATTGTATTAAATGTTATACAGGGGGTTAACAGTGTGTAAAGTGTTGAGGGGGTGTGTTGGAGTTTTTATATGTTTGTATACTGGCAGGCAACACTGTACACACTAAGGATGGTTTTTTTTAATATTAGAATAATATATAATTTAAATTATTAAGAATTCTACATTTGCTGAAATATAGTTAGACTTCACATCTCGACACGGAACAAGTAACATTGAAGGACTAATAAAACATTGTATAAAATATGGTTCAGATATTTTAAATATAATGATGATTAACTAGAAGAAAGTGTTTCAATAGCCCCACACCTCCAGAGCCCCGGACGGGGAAAAGTAACCGTCCATATTATATTTTACGATAAACAAACATAAATATTTGTATTGTTGTAAAAGTAAAATTGTAAAAGCGCACAAAATTTGTAAGCAATCCATTTGTTTTTCTATTTTTTTTTTTGTTTATCACATCACCCTTATTCACTCACTAACCCTTATTACATATAAAAATATTAGCTTTCGCTCGCGACTACTTCCGCGTGGAATTTAAAAAAAACAAAAGTGAATAAACCTATGTGTTCTTCCCGACTACCATCTACATCTGTACCAAATTTCATCAAATTCTATACAGCCGTTTAGGCTACAAACTCTAACAAACGTCCATCCATCCAACCATCCATCTAAACTTTCGTATTTATGAAAGTAGTAAAAAGTAAGATAGCGAGAAAAATAACATAAGAAATACACGTTAAAATTAAAGTTGCTTTCAACATAACAAACCGACAACTCACGTGTTACTACAAGAAGGTACTGGGTAAGTTTTAGAAGCGAATTTAACTTTCTCCGTTAAGGGATATAGGCCCTTTTACAGATCGAAACGTGACTTACTTGTGGTGTAATAAAAATAAGAAAACAACAAAAACAAACTTGGATTCACTGTTAAGGGCATTGACATTGCGTAAGGAACATGTTTTGAAGACAAAGACAATTTGTAGACACTTTACGTGTAAACAATTTTCCGTTATACTTAGTTGATTAATAAACAAAAAAAAAAGTTTATTGTAATATATTTTGAGAAGATAATTAATACGATCATTGACATACTTTTTTTAATTCCGTGCACGGCAAACGTTTTGTATGCGGCCCGTTACATCGACCTCTTCCTACATCGAGGACTGGTTTTAGAGAAATGTTTGCACCCCACTGTTAGGAGTCAGAGAAACGTCCATACCGACATTGACCGTCGCACCTGAAGGACTTGCGTACTTTCTTCCAAGTGAGTGTTACTTGTTTTAAATAATTGCGCTTTTACGCCGTTTAGAAAGTACAGTTCTAGTATTGTGAAAGTAGCGGTATAGTCAAGCGCTGACCGAATATATTTATACTTTTACATTGAATTTAAATAACGATAATGACCATGTTTTATTGATTAGTTTGGTTCAATATTGAACATAGCGTACGTAATACCAAGCTTTGTATTTTTATTATTGTACCATTTTGAACATATTATCGATCCCGCAACATGCAACTTTCAAATTATTAAGAAGATAAATATGGCAAAGTTTCTGATTCTTATGTGACACCTGTATACTGGGGGAAAGAACAAAAAGAATAAGGGCAAAAGAAACAAAAGGGAAACACTAATCCTTGTGTTTTTGTAGATAAAGATGAGGCAGTGGTTGTTGTGCGTGTTAGCGCTGACGGTGGTGGTGTCATGCTCCTCACAGCAGCAGTACGTCAACCGGTACGACAACTTTAACGCGGACTCCATCATACAGAATGAGAGGATACTACTCGCGTATTATAAGTGCGTTATGGAGAAGGGACCTTGCACTAAGGATGGCAAGAACTTTAAACGTAAGTTATTATTTATTACATGTTGCTCTCGACTTTATCCGCGTGAAATAAAAAAAATGTAAAAATATGACCTATGTTACTCAGTGATAACATAGCTTTTTAATAGTGCAAAAATTTTCGAAATCTGTTCAGTAGTTTTTGAGTTATTTCAATATAATCAGAAAACCAAAAATACAACTCATTCCTCTTTACAATATTAGTATAGGTAACTAACCCTCTCTTAATCTTTGGTTACGGGTTAAAGTTAAAATGGATAAACAAGGTTCTAATCTAAGTATTCAGCTACTGATCTGTACTTGAAAAAGCTTTACGACAACCAAAACAATAGACAATATTTTATATTTCAACCTCAAATAAAAAAAATGTTGTACAGACTGCACTGCACTAGTATTATGACTTTGGAGCGCTCATTTTTATTGAATTACATGTTATTATTTATTTATTGTTTTATCTGTGTCATCGATCTTCATACTAAAGTGATTTTCAAGTTCTTATATTTCTAAATACTTGACTTTTAAATCACAACTAATTACTCACATGGTCCAAGCCACAATTGTTTGGGTTTTTGCATAATTTAGATTTAATTATTATAAATGATTACGAATAGATACGCATTGACTGATGACAACAAACATTCGTGTATTTATTAATTGCGCGTTTTCTTGTTATAGATTCTCGGAAGTAGTCATATTTTAATAAATATTATGTTCATTCTTTAATACTGGATTGCTTCTAACATTGAATTGTATGCAGAAGTACAGAAAAACAGGAAGACGTGTTTAATTTATTTTTAAAGAATATACACTTTTTAATGTAATGTTATTTATATAATTTTATTTCAATACCATAAAAAAAGTTGGTGTATCCTATAAAGATTAAACTTTCATACAAGATAATAAAAAACAAAGGTGTTTAGTTTTTGTGTATCATTAAATTAATAAACAATATATAAATAATAATTTTGGTAAATGTTTACAAAGAAAACGATGCATTAATAACAAAAACTTTAGTAAGATTGGATCAGTGCCGGATTAGTCCTATAGCAAGAGCAGCAAAAACTACGGGCCCCGCGAATTTGGGGACCCGAGTTCCAACGCCTGTCTGACTGTAACAAGAACATTAATTTAGATAGTAGCGTAAAATAAATTGCATGCTTTAAACACAAAGAACTTAGGCTATGTTTCACTTCCACTTGAAAATGTGAAACTGGATTTGGTCAATCTAGAGCGTAAAAATAATTTAGTTTTTAAAACCCCAAATTTGAGAACCTAAAGCAAACTAATTGGCTCTTGAGAAAATTTGCTACAGGCCTAAATCCGGCTAAAAGGTGGCTAAGTCCGGCATTGTATTGGATACCAATTGCTTTAGTTTAACGAGTTTCTATACAGAAATGATACACAACTTACAAAGTCTTGGAAAATAACACTAAAATGCATAAATCATATAACACATAGCTGTTTAACGATTATTGAAGTATTTGAATCGTCTGGAGATTTTCCTTCCTCAAAGGAACGATTATATCATAATATGTGCTTTCTCAGAAATATCAACGTTTCTAGTAATATACAAAGAAGTATAAGCGAATTTTAATATTTCCCCTTTTGATATGAAGCCCTTAGAAAAAATATCAGCAAACGTACTATCGGGGAATTTCGCGTTGTTCCACATTTAAAGCTACAGACGTTTGAACATTTTGTAAGCATTGAGACTACGAACAACAACCAATAGGACGCAGCTTTTAAATGGTTATAAAAAAGGTCTCTCAGTGGTACACGACTTATAGGGTATTGTTATCCCGTCGCTTGCACAAATCACTGCGACCTAATCGATTATTAGTAAGAAGTGGCAGAGTTTATCTCTTTCTAAGGAACAAAGCAAATTTTCTGGAAGTGAAATACCGCGAATTTCCGTGACTGTACATAACGATACTTCCCTCTCTTTCATACTCATTTGTTTTATATTCTCCTCTCTCTAACCCTAGAACTCCATCGTAACTCCAGTGATACTCGTATTAATACATTACTTACATCTCTTTCTTTCTCTTTAACAAAACAAAGACAGCAATTTTTATCGATGAATTGATTACAGTTTTATTATGGTAATTTCCAGGTGTGCTGCCAGAAACTATATCAACAGCATGCGGCCGTTGTTCACCGAAACAAAAGATTGTTGTCCGCAAACTGCTGTTGGGGATCAGAGCGAAAAGCGAGCCAAGATTCTTCGAACTTCTTGATAAATACGATCCCAGTCGGTTGAACAGAGAGGCATTGTACACATTTTTAGTGACGGGGAATTAGTTATTGACCTTAATATATAAAGTTTAATTTTAAATTATTAAAATAACTGAGATAATTCTTAGTAATAAGCCTAAATTATTTAAAGATTATGTTTAAGTACAAAGTGGACTGACTTGATACTTTCGTTAATTTTTTATAAGCATAAAGAATAAAAGAAAGTTATCGATGATTCGTTTATCAATTTAATAACAAATAAAAACAATTAATTTCAAGGGAGATCTTGCATTTAAAATTTAATTTAATCTTTATTGTACTTATTAACGAGTTTGTTGTGTATATTTTAATAACTATTCGTGATATTAAAACAGATGTCATAAATAATTGTCTATTATTATAACAAACATAATTACACGTTAGCGTTATGTGTAATTAACAATAAACTTACGAACACAAATGGACACATTTATGGACAATTATCTAGGTATTACTAAAAATCCTTCCGAGAATGTTATACAAACGTGTACAATCGCACGCGTAATTGCAAACTTACTGTTATTATTGATTTAGCATTAGTATTTTTTCCCTAACACTTTTATATTTTATTGAACGCGACTGTACACGTTGGGATCTATAAAAGGGACATGATCTTTTTGTATCTAATCAGATAGAATTAATCTAAGTTGCAAGATGAAGTTGATCATAGTAGTTCTGTGTGTTGTCGCTTTGGCATTTGCTAAAGATAAATATGAAGATATTGAGAATAACTTCAACATAGAAGAATTGTTAGGAAACGATCGTTTGTTAACTGCATACATTAAATGTCTGTTGAACAAAGGCCCTTGTACTCCGGAAGTTAAGAAAATTAAGGGTATGTTATTTTTTTATTTAATTTATGTACATTTTGTTCACAAAGCAAGGAAAAGTATCAAACATTTGAGGCAGGCTATATGACCATAGGTTAGATGCCTGAATTCTACGTAAAATCTGTTTTTTTTTAGTAGATACTAGGCCGTTTTCTCGTCAAATTAAACTTGTATTAACTTCTTGCAATAGAATTAATTGTTTGAAAAACTCAACATATAAGAGGAAATAGAATATCTGTAATTATATATTCTAAAACTTATACGCTTATCGATTTTCACTATATCGAAGGTATATTTTAAATATATCAGTGAATAGCGGAAAGCACTAAAAATAGTATGCAATAATAAACCTCACCTAGGATATGCCTTCCTTACAGACCATATAAGACTTGTAGCTAATCGTCCGCTTCACTAATCAAGTATTTAGATTATTCTTGTGAGATCATCAACAGATAGTCTTTATTGGCATTCTACTCAGAATGATAACAAACCTTTGTTAGATACAAGCGGCAATTCGATTTTGTAGTCGTCAATTAAATTTTATTTAGTCACAAAAATATAACATTATTAAATAGTTTTATCGTTTATGCGGATAAAATTATAGTATCACTGTCGTTTTTAACTTTTATAAACTTTCAAGATTTAATTGTATCAAAGATAAAGACAGGTGTAACGTTATTTTTTAAATTCCGCCTTTTTTATAGATAAAATTCCTGAAGTTCTCGAGACTAAATGCGACAAATGCACCGACAAGCAGAAACAGATAGGCAAAGTGCTCGTGAAACAAGTCCAAAAGACGCATCCCGAACTGTGGGATGAGCTCAAGAAACTCTACGACCCACAAGGAAAATACCAGAAAGAGTTCCAAATGTTTCTCACTAATTAAATCTTGAAATAAAAAAGGCAGCAAGGAAAATTCATAGATTGTTCAATAAAGGAAACGAATATTTTTCTATGTTTATTTTATTCATTATGAATAATGTAATCCTTAAGTAATCCAAATAACATTAAGAATGTAAACAAAATCAATGTAGCTATCCTCTTCTTCTTATCCTTCGTTGGGTATGTCCTGTTCTTTCTTATTTCATAAAGATAAGCGATGACACCTCTAAGTTGTGGTGTTACAAAGCTTAAGTGCTGGCGCACTCCTTTGACTAAGCTATTGCACAACTGTTCAGTCTCACTTTGATTCCTATGAAGGTGCACACATCATCATCATCATCATCATCATCTCCTTATCCTACTCCCGTAGGGTCAGCGCAACAGGTTTTTGTCCTCCACATAACTCTATCCTATGTCATCTCAGTCATCACTCCCTTTTTGATCATGTCACCTTTTACACAATCCATCCATCACACACACACACACACACACATTACTCGATTTTTAGTTGTACAACTAAACAGTTAAATCGGCTGCGAAACAATCGACACTCGACAATCGCACAACATCGTGCTATAGTTTTGTCAAAGGTGTGCGCCTGCTCTTACTGATAATAACTAAACTTTACCTTAGATATACCCATTAGCTTATTCAAATTACACGAAAAATAGCTTTTATCCACAGCTATAACAGACTAAAAAAATTATTTCAAATGTCATAACGATAACATAAATCAACATGTCTCCTAAATCCTCCTTTTTAAATAATTTCAGGGGTAACATTTTCTTTTTCGGTAAATTTTTCCAACGCCTGTTTAAAAGTCTCATAGCAGACCCAGCCTTGGGAATGACATTTTTTAGCTTCTTCCCAAATTTCATTGAATTCATCGTCAGTAAATTTCTCTCCAGCGGCCTTGAATATTTTTTTTACAACGTGCGGTTCACGTTTTGCATACATGTCGCGATGATTGACATCCATTAAAGCAAGGATACTAGGAGAAAGACATGACTTGACATCCGACTCTTGTGGAAGGTGGCTTCTATGCGCTTTAATGTAATAATTAGGTGTAATAGGGTAATCCAAGTCAAAGTACCTCCCAGACGGAACCCCGGCCATACGAGATTTATCTCGTTCCTGATCAGGTTTAAACGCTTCGTTGTAACTAGTGCAATAGTCAGTGCAGCCTGGTGGTAAATCAGGGATGTGAGGAATACATTTAATAGCTTCCTTAAAATTAATAACCTGCGTGAAAAACCTGTAGTCAATATTTTCTCCATCGAAAGCTTGCCATTTTGCTAATAAAGGCTCTATTAAAGATGAGTCAAACCTTATTAACTTCGAAGCACATAAGTTATATACAATATCTCGATGTAGCCAACCAGATTTTTCACAATCGTAATATTTTAGTCTTAGATAAAACTCACTAAAAAATTTGGGCAAAAAACGAGTTGACAAGCATTTACGAACAGTATTGAGATGACCTAAGCATTTCCTGTAAAATTCACGTTCTGGATTAAGTTCGCAGTAGGTGAGACATTGTTCAACATGATCAGGTTTGCTTAATATTCCGAATGCATAACCTTCAGGAACATTTTTTATATTATTAATAGGTGTTAACCCTTTTCCAAGTCTAGACTTGTAAGAATCTTGATAATTAGACAGGACTATATTCAACATTGTTTTATTTGCAGTTCCGTCAATGATCTTATCATCAGTCAAGCGTCGTTTAACATGTATTCCGCGTTGGTCGGTGTTACTTCTGTGTCCGAATGTGAAATCTGGATTAAATGGCGGTTCACAATAGTTACGACTTATTTTAGTAGCAGGTAGTTGAGAAACCGGCGTTTGGCCTTCTATAGGTACTTTTGGAAATACCAAATCATACAAAGAAATTTTAGGTGTCTTCTTTCCAAATGTTGTGTTATATATGTCAAGTCCTTCAGGTAAATTTGGTACCTGATCTGGGAGCCTTCCGATTTCTTTTTTCCAATACGAAGCGTAAGATGTCTCCTTGAAATCTTCAATCAGAGTTTTAAATTTTGATCGAAAAGGTGGGTGTATGAGTCTTGCAGCTTCTCCGCCTATGCCAGCGTTACGCATGTCTGGCGGTGCAGGTCGACGTAGAGGTGCAGGAGGTTTGGGTATTTCCGTTGGTTTTATAGCGTCGCGGACGAGTGCATCTACCCCTTCTTGCAGTAGATAGTGTTGCAAGTTGTCAGCGAGTTGATTATCAGGCTGGGCAGATGGTAAGCCTGCTGCACAAATCTTTGGAGTTCGATCGATAAACATGCCCCGATTTCCTTTCCCACCACATTTCGATTTTAGACTACCTGCAGGCATTTTGTCTATTTATAGTTAAAACATATACCTATAGTTTAGATTTTTCAGCAATAAAAAAGTGCAATTAAATTCAATCGTATCAGGTGACAATAAAACGACAAGTTGATGTCACTTATGACAAAAAAGAAAGAAGAAAAATATGAGGCTATAAAAGACAAGTTCATTGATGATTTTTTTTGTTGCGTGAAAAATGTTTGTTGATTATTTTGGCGGTGTTTTACTAAACCGAAAAGAATGTAATATTCATAAGTCTGTAACTCACTCATTGTGAACATTTTATTCGTTCTTGGTGACAACGTATTTAAAATCCGTTAATAAAGCAAATTATATCTATCTTTTTGTACATAAGTGTACCATACTACCGTGGTAGATAACTTCGAGGAGGTATAGAGATTCTCTATATCTATTTGCAGTTTGGTAATAGGCACCGTATCTTGTTGCGGACGTATGAAAATAAGCCTTCATCTGTGTTTATTAGACACTAGCTTTCGCCCGCGACTCCGTTAGCGTGAAATTAAAAAGAACAAAAACGAGCAGCCTATATGTTCTTCCAAACTATCCTCTACATCTATATAAATTTTCAACGAAATACATGCCGTTTAGACAATAAATTCTAACAAACATCCATCTAAACTTTCGCATTTGTAATATTAGTATGATATATCCTTTATCTACCTATTTTGATCATAAATAAAACAAACTGGGAAATCTGACAATTTTTAATTGTTTTGTATCGAAAATAAAATAACATTCAAGGAATAAATAACTAAAATTGAATTTGAATTATTTAAAACCATTTATACAAATTAAAGTTATAAAGATATGAAATAAGAAAGTATTTTTAAGACTTTTCTCAAAAATAATAAGAATATAATTATGGTACAGCATAATATAAAAAATGAATAATATTTAAAAAATATGTATTAACAATACTACGTTTACAAACAATATTACGTTTAATTAATAAAGTTAATCTAAAAGTTGATAATAATAACAAAAATTAAACATTAAGATCGATAGAAAGATAAAACGTTATTAAATCAAAATATAATTTATAACTACTAAACTAAAATTATACATTTAATTTAACTATAAAAGTAAAAAAAAAAACATAAAATTAAAGTTTTACAAAGAAAGATTTCAAAAATCCATTTAGTAACTTGACGTAGTTTTATAATAACAAGTAACAAAATTCTTTTCAATCTAACTTGTAGTTTTTTCCGTCTCAGAAACTTTTCGCAACGCCTGTCTAAATGTCTCAAAACAGACCCAGCCTTGATAATGATATTTTTTAGCCTCCTCCCAAATATCGTTAAATTTTTCATCACTAAAATCCTCCCCAGCAGCTTTGAATACTTTCTTTACAACATCAGGTTCACGTTTAGCATACATGTCACGGTGGTTGACGTGCATTAACGTAAGTATGCTCGGAGTTAGACATGACATGGCATCTGACTCTTGTGGGAGGCACGTCCTAACTGCTTTGCAGCAAAAATTAGGTGTAACAGGATAAGGTAAGTCGAAGTACCTCCCGGATGGGATTCCAGCCATACGAGACTCATCCCTCTCTTGACCAGGCCGCACCATATCACTATAAGTTGTGCGGAAGTCAATGCAGTCAGGAGGCAAATCTGGTACATGTGGAATATATTCTATAGGTTCCCTATAATTTATCATGTGAGCAAAAAACTTGTAGTCAATATTTTCTCCATCGAAAGCTTCCCACTTTGATAACAAAGGTTCTATTAATGATGGATCAAATCTTATAAATTTTGAAGCACAATATTTATATAGCACGTCACGAGGCAGCCAACCGCGCTTTTCGGTATCGTAATATTTGAGTTTTAAATAAAAGTCGTTGAAAAATGAAGGTAAAAATCGAGTTGACATACATTTACGAACAGTATTGAGATGAGCTAAGCATTTCCTGGTGAAGTCGCATTCTGGATTAATTTCACAGAAGCTCAGACATTGTTTAAGATTATCAGGTTTTTTTAAGATTCCGAATGAGTATCCTTCTGGAACATTGTTAATATTATTATTGGGAGCCAACACTTTTCCAAGTCTAGCCTTGTTGAATTCCTGGAAACTGGTCTGAGTTGTATTTAAAACTGTTCGGTTTCCGTTTCCAATAACGATATTATCTTCAGTTACACATGCTTTTGCGTAAAGCCCACGCTTATCAACATGAGTTCTATGACCATACGTTAAATCTTCACTAAATGGTGGCTTACAATAATTACGGTCTGTTTGTGCCGCTGGAAATCTGGAAGCTGGCGTTTTATCTTCAAGAGGTACTTTCGGGAATACGACATCATACAGTCTTTCTGCTTCAGGTAATTTCCTCCCAAAGGTCGTCTTGTACACATCTAGTCCTTCAGGTAGCATTGGCAATGGATCTTGCACTTTTCCAAGTGGTTTTTTCCAATAAGAAGAATAAGTGGTCTCTTTAAAATCGTCAACTAGTGTTTGAAATTTTGACTTATTCGGTGGGTTTATAATACCTGCGACATGTCCGTATACTCCAGAAAAACGCATGTCTAATGGTATAGGATGACGTAGGGGTGGAAGTGGTCTGGGTGTTTTCGCAGGCAAGATAGCGTCATTAATAAGTGAGTCCACCTCATCTTTCATTAAATAATGCTGTAAGTCATCGCCGATTTGATTATCCGGCTGTTGAGAGGGTAGACCCGCAGCACAAATTTTTGGACTTCGTTCGAAAAACATACCCAGGTTTCCCTTCCCTCCCGCCGTCGATCGTTGGCAATCGACCGGCATTTTGTTAAATATTTTACTATTAAATTAAATATATAAAATAAAATTAAACCCGGTACTTTACAAAAACAACGCCAAGTTTGTGTCAAAAATGTCAATAAAATATACGTCAATAGTACAGACTATAAATTGACATAAAAATCCCTTGTCTATAAATTTATTTTTAAAATACTCAATGATGAGAAAACGATGGAGCTTTTTTTTGTTATTAAACTATTCGTAATTTTTATAGGAGTGCTGTAACTTTACGAATCACCGCATTATTTAGCCACATATTCGATAGCAGTCGATGTCATGTTCACTAAGGCATTACCGTAGTACCGGGATCATGACCTATTGGTAAGCGTGATTTAGATAGCACGGGATACAATATTTTGGGTACTTTGTACAAAAGGCCCTTCTTAATGCCTTCCACAGAGAGCGGTACTCCGCCTTCCTCATCCAACTTTGCGTGCGCACTAAGTCGTCGGCCGACCTGAAAGTAGGACGCCCCACAAGGGAGGGATTGGGGAAAAACTATATCCAACAGTGGTTAGATAAAGACTGATGATGATGACGATTAAGCCAGTTGTTGTTGAAAATATAATCTCTATCTATTTGGTATCTTTATTTTCTTTTTTTGTGAACTAGCTTTTACTGCGCCCAACAAAAAAAAAGGGTGGCCTAACGTGTTCTGCCTGAATTTGTTTAACATCAGTGTCAATCATCGATATCCGTCTAGCCGTTCCAGAGATACTTTCTAACAAACATCCATCCTTAAATCTAAGCTTTCACATTTACAATATCAGTAAGAAGTAAAATAACTGAGAAATGTTGAGATTTATTTATTCAAACGACATACATGTCTTTATTTATTTCTAACTTAGTAAACATTTGTATTAAAAAAAGTATTTATCATTATTAAAAAAAATATTCAGGACAATAAAAAAAAATATCATAAACTAGTATGAAATTGAAGATGTACTTAATAACCCATGTTTTTAAGTACATCTTAGTAAGAGTTTCAGAATAATTATAGCAACATAAAATTAAAGAATTATTAAACTAAACTATAACTGTAAAACTATATGTTACAAATGTAATTAAAACTATAAAAGTAAAGTAGTTTATCGATTAAATAAAAATTTCTTACAATCTATTTTCTTGTGTTTTCCGCTTCACAAACTTTTTGCAACGCCTGTCTAAAGGTCTCAAAACAGACCCATCCTTGGGAATGATATTTTTTAGCCTCCTCCCAAATATCGTTAAATTTATCATCACTAAAATCCTCGCCAGCAGCTTTGAATACTTTTTTTACAACATCAGGTTCACGTTTAGCATACATGTCACGGTGGTTGACATGCATTAACGTAAGTACGCTCGGAGTTAGACATGACATGGCATCTGACTCTTGTGGGAGGCACGTTCTAACAGCTTTGCAGCAAAAATTAGGTGTTATAGGATGATCTAAGTCGAAGTACCTCCCAGACGGAATTCCAGCCATTCGAGTCTTATCCCTCTCTTGAACAGGTCTCATGAATTCATTGTAAACCGTGCAGAAATCAATGCAATCCGAAGGTAAGTCTGGGACATGTGGGATGTTTTCTATGGGTTCCTTGTAATTTATCATGTGAGAAAAAAACTTATAGTCAATATTTTCTCCATCGAAAGCTTCCCACTTTGATAACAAAGGTTCTATTAATGATGGATCAAATCTTATAAATTTCGAAGCACAATAATTATATAACACCTCACGAGGCAGCCAACCGCGCTTTTCGGTATCGTAATATTTGAGTTTCAAATAAAAGTCATTAAAAAATGAAGGTAAAAATCGAGTTGACATACATTTACGAACAGTATTGAGATGAGCAAAGCATTTTCTGGTAAAGTCGCATTCTGGATTGATTTCACATAAGCTAAGACATTGTTTTAGATTCTCTGGTTTACTTGAAATTCCAAATGCGTAACCTTTTGGTACATTGTTGATATTATTATTGGGAGCCAAGGCTTTTCCAATTCTAGCCTTATTAAATTCCTGGTGAGACGAGTGAACGGTGTTTAAAACCGTTCGATTTCCATTTCCATCAACGACATTATTATCTGTTAAACAAGTTTTGACCTGTAAACCACGTTCGTCAATATAAGATCGATAACCGTATGTTAAATCTGCATTAAATGGTGGTTTGCAATAATTACGATCTATTTGGACGGCAGCTAATTTAGAAACCGGTGTCGTGCCTTCAAGAGGTTTTTTTGGGAATACTAAATCATACAGTGATCCTTCATCAGTAAACTTCCTTCCAAAGGTCGTTTTGTACATATCTAGTCCTTCAGGTAGCATTGGCATTGGATCTTTAACAGTTCCTAGCGATTTTTTCCAATAGGAAGAATAACTAGTATCCTTAAAATCTTCAACTAGAGTTTGAAATTTCGATTTATTCGGTGGGTTTAATAAACTAATGCCTTCACCGAACAATCCGGCATGACGCATGTCTAGTGGTATAGGACGACGTAGAGGTGGAAGAGGCCTGGGGTGTTTCGGAGGCAAGATAGCGTCGCTAATTAGTGCATCCACCTCATCCTTCACAAGATAATATTGCAAGTTATCAGCGACTCGATTATCTGGCTGTTGAGAGGGTAGACCCGCCGCACAAATTTTAGGACTACGGTCGATAAACATACCCCGGTTTCCTTTCCCACCCGATGTAGATCTTTGGCAGTCTACAGGCATTGTGTTGATTATTTTATTAGTAAAGATACTATACAAAATTAAACGTGATAACAATAAATACGCTGTGTGTCAAAATTGTCAATATGACAGAGTATAAACTGACATAAACAATTCTCGTTTACGAATTTATTTTTAGAATATCAAACATTTGGAAAAACTATGGAGTACTTTTCGTGTTTTTTATGGGTACGTATTTGTTATTTAGTTTTAAAAGAACGATTTAAGTCCTCACATTAGCACATCATTTGAAATTCGTAGTCTGTTGCAGTCGAAGTTACATTGCACTATGGTATTGCCAAAGTAGATCGATATAGAGGATGCTATTATCATCACACAGTGGGACTTATACTCATGTCTCTTGCGCACTGTGAAACTGATTTGAATGATTTCACAGGTCTTATTACATTAAGCCATCGCTTATAGAAACATAGCAATTTTTAATCGGATTTGGTAAGCTCTAATCAAATGACTGAAATTATACCTTAAAAAAATAAATATTGTACTGTCTCAGTAAAGTTTAATTAACAAACCTAGAAGATAATTCGATAAGAGTATTTTTATTAAAATTAAAGTTTCATTATATTACTTTTATCTTCCACTAAAGTATTAAAAAAATGTTTTTAAGAACCAATGTAAATTAAAAAAAAATCAATGAAAATGAAAAAAATTAAGTAATCATAAAATATTTATTTAAATAACCAAATAATAAATACATTTTCCATAAATTATTAAGACAAATTCCGTACAAATTTCAGACTTTAATTATTATAACATTTTCTATCTCATCTTCATATACATTGTTAAGGCTTTAATGTTCTTTTACAGCCTCAATTTTGTCCTTGTACCTTTGTTGGTAAACATTATCGGGATCGTATTTAGTAGCCAGTTCCTTCCATAACTCGGGACGTTTGTTGATCAAAAATCTAATAACTTTATCTGAACCTTCTTTTTGCTTCTGTGTGCATTTTGAACATTCATTTTCTAACGCATCGGGCATCGTTTCCTTTAATGTCTTTCCATCAGCGGTACAGCGACCTTTATCCATAAGACAGTCGACGTATCCTTTGAGTAGACGTTGGGACTCTAAGATCTCGTCGATGTTGATATAATCCCATTTGTCGGTGTAAGTGGACGCTGGCTTGCCCCAGGCAACTGCCGCCACGCACAGTAACGCACATACAGTGAATAACTTCATTTTTAATCTAAAATTGAAACAATTAAAATTAATAAACAAACTCAAATAGGCCTGAAGGCAATATAAGTGATAAATGCATGTAATTTATTTAAAAACTAGCTTTTGCTCGCGACTCTGTCCGCGTGGTATTGAAAAACAAAAGTAAGCAGCCTATGTTTTCTTCCATAATATATGCTACATCTATGCTAACTCAATCAAACTTCCATCCATCCATCCATCCATCCATCCATTCATCTAAACTTTAACATTTATAATATTAGTAAGATTAAAGAAGTAAGAAAGTCCTAAGCAAAATCGAATGTTTCGTTTAGGAAAAGTTTTACCACAAAATCAAAATGTTTAGTTTTTATTATTTATCAAATATGAAAGATTTAATTTAACGTTATATTATTTTAATCATTGTTAATTATACAAAAACTATAAGATTGCAAAACAATCGTTTCCTTGCATGTTTTATGTTTTGTGTTTGCGCGTTGAAATTTTAATTAGGTATTGTCTATTGTTTTATTGTTAGATAGAATATAATCGTCGCATTGTGATATGGTAGGAAGTATTTTCTCGAGGATTTTAAATATCACACCGATCTTATGAATTTTGTGACCTCTAGAGCAATTTGTGATATCAATAATTTTTTATAATGCCTGGGAAAAGCCTATCGCGTATTACTGTTTTCCAATAATTAATGACATTTGTATTATTTTAAAATAATTTGGCTGTTAGAATTGACAAATCTTCACACAAATTGTTAGTTTTAGAAATTATAAACTTCAAAATAATTGAATATTGTCATATTAAATTCACTTTTGCTTTTGATTTATTAAAACATTTATTAAAAATACATATTGAAATTTAGGAACTTTTGTACATACACATTCTTGTTATTTCTAATTTCTTTTTTAAAAAAGCTAGTAGTAGATTTAAAAGTAGCAAGCAATCAAATAAAAGTTTATCATAAAACAACCAACAGTCTATATTATTCAATCAGTATTTTTACATTTACTTAGTATAACTACTGTAATTATTTGAATGTAATACTTACATTAAATCTAATCCCTTCGTTAGAACTGTCCAGTCTTCGAAAGGTCTATGACTACCGAGTCTATGCTATGGGACATTTATACTGCACTCACATTGCCACTGGGTGTTGCGTCGCCCATTGACGCGTTAATAATTACACGTCCTAACGATCGACAGATAAAACTGATCGGACAATGGCGTTGTGTACGGAAGTAAGATAACCTATATTTTTCCTGTAGACTTTACAAGAAATCTCTGAACAAATCAACAGACTCGGAAATATATGTTGCTTCAAGTTTTAGGAAAAGTTAATTTCTAAAACTACCTTGCGACGAGAGGATAGGAGAGAGGAGTTAAGTTTAAGGACTGTAGTTTGGATAGAATCTGTGAAATAAGATATGCTTAAGAAGAGAGTGCATTCAGGTATGACGGCTGATAGAAATGTATGAAAGATCAGCACATACTGTGCGTGCCCCTCCTTAAGTACAAGGGCAAGTTAAGGATGATAACTTTAATAAACACCAACAAAACTACAGGCGATTCCTTTTTTCATTATTCTTATATACAGCAACCATCAATTTCATCCAAAGCAATTCATATTTTTAATGCAGCGCCTACAATTTTTATTATAGCACCTTTTTGCATTGTTTACTTTTAATGCCAGGCGCTGGATCGATACATGTATTTTGGCTACGATTTTTAGTAAATTACATACGTTTGCTATGCGGTAAATGCTTGATTTTTTTAACTTAATATTAATTATCATGATCGAATATACTAATATCTAGCATAAAAATGTGAACGTTTTTTTCTTCTAGTGACATCCATGTTTTAGGGTCTGTCCCACCAATTGTAAATTTTTTGATAACAATCCAACGTGTAAAATATTTGATGGAAATGTCGGATTTTGTTCCCCATTCTGACAGTGACGTCATTTTAAAGCTATCTCAGCCTTTATCAGCCAGTGGTGTGACAGGCCCTTAGAATAGCAAACAAAATGAAGATGAAGTGACATTCAAAAACAGTTTATGTTATCTGAACAATCTTTTGCACCGTTTTTGCTTAAATCTCCCATCCATTATAAAGTTATTATTCATTACTCACTTATATCTCTTTAAAATTCCAATTTTTTGTACGTAATCATTTGTTTTAATACAAATTAATGAAGCCAAATTCTAAGATAATAAAAGATATTGTCTTTACTTTGATGTTTTGATGAATCTTTGAAGTTAGAAGAAATGAATGATGACTAATACAAGTGAGCAAGGCGAGATTATAATTTGAACAAAACAGGTATATATTAGACACAAGGGCGGTCGACCGGCGGCGAGGCGAGTATGTAAATGTTATTGCATCTTAAGCGTGACTCACTAAACACAAACAACGATATAATTTAATAAATTTTAATTAAAATACTGCTTAAAATTACTTAGTGAAAGTGCCGTATGAATTTTTGATACTTTCTTGATGGTATTCATGAGTGTTTTCCACATTTACCGATATTAAAAAATATGTAGTATTAATACTACGTTACGTCTATGAGTCTGTTGAAGAATAGACGCAGAATATAAATAAAAAACTCATATTAAAAAACTTGGATAAAAATAATAATAACGCATGAATCAGAGTATAAAAACTTCAGGACTATTCCGTACATTATTCAAATACTTATCATATGACATTGAAAATGTGCATATACTAAAGATGTCAGGTACAACTTAGAAGCTTATAAAGATAATAAGGAATCATAGTATTCTTTAGACAACCTAGATAATGTCGGGGCAAGGTTGGTGAAAAAGGTTCTAGTTTCCTTCCTTGTGGATGTTTTCCGTTTCTTTTATAGTAGTAATAATTATAACAAATAACTCTAGAATATGGTGCTTTAATTTTAGTAATAGTAATATTGTTATCCAAAATGCTGCTATGACTAAACTATCGCACAACTTTTTAGTCTCGCTTTGATTGAGCTTATATGGAGGTCCGTACACTTCTCGATTTTTGGTGGGAAACTAAACAGTTGAATTATTTGCAAAACAATCGACAATCGCACAACATTTGTACGAAAGTTTAGTCAAAGAATTGCGCTCAGTTTAAAAGTTATTCAATTCGTTTCTTACTCAGATTCCACATTTAGCGGAATATTACTGGGAGGGATAAAAACAAGATGTAAAAATTATTCCATAATGCTGCGGTTATGCCGCGTTCCGCTTGTTTGTTTTAAGATCAGGTTTGCGTTTTTTATACCAATGTAACTAATTCAAGGTTTTGTATGCACGTCACGGGGTTTCCCAAAATATTTATGTTGAACCTTTTTTCATTGATTTACTTAATTGATTTGAAACTTTAGTTTCATTGACTTCTACACCTTCTTGATATATATTACTATCTCATCATAGAAGTTTCTAGGCACATAATTTCGAACCCCACTAGATTTGGACAGGGATCATGGTCTGCCATACTTATTTTTACTTCTGCTATTTGCTAGATTCTACTCAATACTTTTGTATACATTCACATAGTTTTAGCACAAGTTCTATTTTTCTGAATTAAAATATTTCATTTCATGTTAATCTCGTAACTTTAGATATAGTTTAGGATAAAATCAATATTATTAAATTATCAATATTATTAATTATTCAAAAATAATACATTCAAAAAAACTTGCTGGTACTTAAATCTTATGTTACTTCTTACTAATATTATAAATGTAAAACTTTAGATGTAGGGATAGATGGATGGATGTTTGTTAGAGTTTGTAGCCTAAACTGCTGACCGGATTTTGATAAAATTTAGCATAGATGTAGAGGAAAGTCTGGAAGAACACATAGGCTATCCACTTTTGTTTTTTTTCAATTCGACTCGGACAAAAGCTAGCAGTTTATAAAATTTTCAAACACTGAACACATCATACATTGACCCAAAATGCAACGTTTAAGAAAAAATGTATGCGACCACAAACAAATACCATACAATAATGCTAACAATGATATATTGGTTCGTATAATTGGTCATTGAATATTTATAGTTGCTGAGAAGTTGCACGCCGTTTGTTTTACAATTAGGTAATCAATTAACAATCGTGTACAGCGACGCGACAAACTTTAAACCGATTACTGATTTCATTTACTATACAATTGAATATAGGAAGCTTTTGAAAAAAATCCATTTTTATTTAACTACGAGCTGTTGCCCACGACTTCGTCCTCGTGGTATTCGAAAACATACAAACTATATAAATTACAAAAAGCTAGGTATCCCTCCGGAACCGGACATTTCTCGGGGATTGTCTCATGTATACTCCAGACTTTCTTTTATATCTGTGCCAAATTTCAATAAGATATGTTGAACCGTTGCAGAATGATCGAGTAAACATTAAAAAACTAAATTAATGAATCCCACGGGAACCGTAACTATTCCCGGGATAAAAAGTAGCCTATGTGTTCTTCCAGACTATGCTCTAAACCTGTGTCAAATTTCATGGAGATCCGTTCAGCCGTTTAGGCTACAAACGCTAACAAACATCCATCCATCCATCTATCCATCTAAACTTTCGCATTTATAATATTAGTAAGATTGATATAAACAATACAGTTTGTTAGGATTTTTGGAACAATGTTTATTAAAGTCAAATTGGCTTACAGTGAAACGTATTAATTATAAAATAAACTTATACGACACTTATCTTATAATATTACGTTTAAGATCTACAAAAATACACAGTTTTCAAAATTCAAAATCCATTAACCGAATTTTAAAAATCGCCTTACCATTATTATGAAGAAAACCCGTACAGAGGTTGACCACGACCTTTGAATTTACTTCAAGGGGTTTATTTATAGGTAGTTATTTTATATTTGCAAACAGATTTTAACAATAAATTACATTTAATTACACTTAGTGTTCAAATCTTTTTATTAGTCATAATTGCAGACCGAGCGGGTTAAATCCAATATTTTGTTAAAAAAAACTGCATTAATACTCAGGACAGGACAAGACCCTTCCATATCCATCTATACGTTCATATTTATACTAATTTAATAAAGCGTAAACACACTACTTTGTGGCGTATGTCACCAGCATATTTCTGAATAATTCCTTCTTTCATAAAAACCCCTACTCTAACGACACGCTTTAGGTTACATATTTTCACGCTATTAAACTTAGGGAGTAAATGAATTAAAAAAAACTTTCATGTAGGAAAGAGACCATAAACTACAAGCTGCCAACATGAAGGAAGCAAGGTTGTTATTTCTGCATTTGAAATCTGACCTGACGATTGAACATTTCACAAATGTAAATATTTTATGATTCCATGCAAATGAAACCGCACGGAAACGTATATTTGAAAAAACTTTTTTGTAGCGTCATTACAAAGTACGACAACAAATCTCATACAATCTCTAACGAAACGAATATTTTTCTAACAGCACGTCTATTTTTCGGGAGCTTGTATTAATCGAAGTGACGTAGCATTTATATGTTTGTTATTTTTAATTTTCTCGCCTGGTTATCAATAATGGTTATTTATGATATATAGAAATATTTCAAGTAAATAATACTATTCGTATATGGATTATTTAAATCATCCAATGTCTATGTTCTACATCTATGCCGAACAGCGAGATCTGTTGAGCTGTCTTTGAAATATAACAAACATCCTTACATCTAAACTTTCGCATTTAAAATGTTAACTAATTGAGATTTATATTTTTTATCTGTATGAAAAATACTTAAAATAAATACTCCTTAATGGAAACATAATGTACTTAAAACTATATTGTATTAAAGACTAAAGTCCTTTAACGTCGACAGGTCTGTAAGAAGCAATTTTGATAATCTTTTAGTTAGTTAAATATTAAAGTGAAGGTTCTTTACTCACAGAAACAGTTGAAAAACTGCACAGAATGTGCTTGCTTGGAAAAAATCCTTGAGTACGGGTTTTGCCGAATCCATTTGGCGTTAAAAATATGTAGTTAATCTTATTTTTTACAATAAAATATTTTACCGTGTTTATGTTAGACTTTTTTGTTTGAGGAAAAATAACGATTTCTAGCGAGAATAATTCTATACCACATATTTCTACGACCACAATAATAACCAACATTATTGTAATGCTACCTTTAGCCTTAAAAACAAAGCTTTCGAATTAAAAAAATCAAAGTAAATATTCTATGTTCTTGCAGACTATCCTCTACATCTATGCCAAGTTTCATGAAGATCCGTTATTTTTTTATACAAAAACGAGAAAGCGGCCACCTAAATCCGCCAAAATGGCGAACATAGCCATCCAACATAGACTTGCCCATAGACATCCGCAATTGCAGATGCGTTGCCTACCCTAAATTGACGGAGGAAGAAACGCACATAAAGAGGATATTTCCCTTTCCTATGCCCCTTCCCTTATAAGAAAAAGGTGGGACGGAAAAGGGACTAAAATTGGGCCTCCGGCACCACACTCATCCGACGAAACGCGGAATTGCGCCTGTCTTCTGTGTAGTCGTGGTATTACACCGGGCGAGCCGACCCATTCGTGCGTAGATGTTAAAGCGGGCTCTACCACTGTTTAAGCTACAAACTTTAACCAACATCCGTACGGGTGTTGGTTAGATGTATATCTATCCATCCATTTAAATTTTGGCATTTATAATAACAGTAAGATGGTAGTTAGAACTGTTGAAAATCAAATTCGGATTTCATACAGTGATAACATATTATTTAGACTTTGTACCTAGTTCAAATAAATATGGACAATTTTCTAATTAAATTCAGGTTTTCGTATATAAAATTGCACTAATGACACATAAAATATCACCGTAATTTCGTGTTAAAACTAAAATTAAAATCGTTGAAGTTAACAAGATCAGGAAAAATTTTATCTTACTGTGAATCAGGAAAAAAACAATGTATTATTCTTTTTTTTTAAAAAAAAACATGAATTTGTAATGTATTTAATTTCACCTTGACTGATTTTTACCCTTTAATAATTATTCTCACATGACTAATTTAAATTGTAATCTTTTAATAAATATTAGTTAATCTCTAAAACGAGTTTTGCTCAAATTATAATTTAATTAAAATACAGCAGAGGGTAAAATAACACAGTACTTTAAATAAGTTACTAAAAATTGTCTACTAGACGTTCTTAAAAAATAATTAAAAATATACTCAGTTGAACTTTGTCACTGTATCATTTAAAAAAATATAGGTATTCCAGTACTATGTTTACATTAAGTACTAATGTTGAATATAACATTATACTGAGGAAAGATTTGTATTTTTGTATACTACTGGTCCGATTCCACCATTAGAAAGCTACGTTATCGCTGAATATCATAGGTTACATTTTTTAATTTTTATTCCACGCAAGCGAAGTGGCGAGCAACAACTAGTGTTACAATACAAACATAATAAGGTAAGGAAATAAAACAACATTAAAAAATGATTAACCATCATAAACCATCCGAAAGACATTATCTACACAATAACTAAGACATTCAAAGGTTAAAAATATAAGTTTGATGATTCTTTGTTGAATCGCAAAATTTTGAACAATTTGAACTGAACAATAGTGTTTAAGATTTGCATAACATTGTGTACGAAGGGCCTAACATACAGTTTCTTGTGACGTCATCTGAGGAAAATACACAACATGCAACATCTAGATGAACCTTGACGGATAATATAATAATACTAGCCTTCGCCCTCGTGGAATTAAAAAAAAAACTGAGTAGGCTATGTGTTCTTCCAGACTATCCTCTACGTCTATGCCAAATTTCATCGAAATCCTTTTAGCCGTTTAGGCTACAAACTACAACGACGAGACGATGGGGACATAAACCTGAAAGTGTTAAGAATGAATATGGATGGCTACAAAGGAAGGGGAAGACCGAAGAAAGTATGGATGGATTGTGTGAAAGAGGATATGCTTAAGAAAGGAGTGGATTTAGATATGACGGCTGATAGAGATGTATGGAAGAGCAGCACATACTGTGCAAGGGATAAGGGCAAGTTGATGATGAGGCTACAAACTCTAACAAACATTCATCCATCTAAATATTCGCATTTATAATATTAGTATGAAGTATGATTAGGGGTAAACCTACAACCACCCTTTGAGCAGAAGAAAGAACCAGTTGTATGTGTGGTGTATAGACATAAACTTGGGTAGGTTATAAAGTTATGGAATATTTATACTACTGCGAAATCTTACACACTAAGATAGTACCGCTGACGTCCAAAACATAATTTTAAACATCGTTATGTGTTTGCAAGTTGCATGTGATTCATAGTTTTTTGTGTAATAGACGAAATATGAAGAAAAACAAATATTGTTTGTTCGCGGTAACAACGATGAAAATTGTTAATGAAACAAAAAATGCAATTTGTAATGATCTTCGCTACATTCAAAGAAGGCAACAAGTAAATTTAGTTAAAAAATATACTTGGAGTAATTGGAACTATAAAGAAAACTTCAAGGAATGAATACATTATTAATAAGTAAATTCGTATATGTATACTAATATAATGAAGCGTAAACACACACTTCTTTGTTGCCTAAGATGTCAGCAATCACAGCATATTTTCGAATAACTCTTTTTTTAATAAAAAGCCCTACACTTACGTCACGCTTTAGGCCAATATTTTCACACCGTTAAACTTAGGGGTAAATATTTTGGATAAAAACCCTAATGTGAAAAAGAGACCATAAGTTGTTGCCAACATCAAGGAAGAAAGGTTGCCATGGTTTGACATCAAGTCATGTCATTTTAACATTTGCAATTGATTATTTGACAAATGTGAACAATAAAATGATATTTTTATATTATAATTTCATGCGGATGAAGTCGCATGGGTACAGCTAGTCTGATGATAAACTTCTCTCAAGGATACAAATACATTTATTTAGTATAAGTCAATAATAAATATTATATAAGACATCGACTGACTCATACATATATACTCGTACATAGATACAGAGACTAGCAAGTGAGCGGCCACCTTAGTATTCCTAAATTGTGAATCGACCGCTGCATGTATACCATTGTGTTAGGAACATTAATGTCTACATTATCAGTATAATTTCATGAGGAAATTTGAAAATGGTAATTAGACCCTATTTTGTCACTATTTGATAGTTGACAACCCCCACTCTTACTAGGAAAAAGATAGACAACCCCACCTCAAAGTCACATTTACGTTAAGTACTATCGATTGGTGACAAAATTTTCACGAAATTCGATGATGGGTTTTTCCTCCAAAAATTGACCACTTCAGATCTCAATTAAAAATAGCATTGCCAGGCTTGAATTGGGCAACCCGGATACAATATTGTGATCTTTCAAATAATGCAGGTCTTATCAGGACATCTGATAAGGGAAGGTCATCACAACTGATGTATCCCTACCTAATAGAAATCCCCTCAGATGCTGTGTCTACCCTTAATCGACGGAAGAGGGGACGCACGTAATGAGAATATACATTTACCCAAGTGGGTAAGAACACGGGCTGAAGTAAGTACTAAGCCCGTGTTCTTAGATGTTATTTTTTAAAAAGTTGCTTCAACTTTCAAGATGATAAAACAAATCTCAGTCAAGTCAGCGTTTTAATATTGTGTACAAGAATACAATATTAGTTTAGAAGATTTACGTTTACTGGTGTACGAAGGGCCATAGCATTTTATTAGTATTGTGCCAGTGTTTTAAGAGATTTTTTTTAATTTTTTATCAGTTTTAACATTGTTGAGTAAAAAATTATGACTACATATTTAATGTATTTCACATTGGCTGATTTTTTCTCTGGTAATTAAAATAATCATATAAATAGTTGGAGCATTGCAGTGCAGTTCAGAATACATCAGATCTCCTTACGAAACGTTTGTTTAATTATTTTGGAAACGGTGAGTAAGATTTAAATTGAAATATTTAAATTTCTAAGCAAGCGTTTTGGACTAAATTGATTTAAGGTTTATAGGTGTAATGTCTGTCACTTTAACACTATCCTGGCTTACTATGGACGAGGCCAGAATGGTGTTTAAGTTGGCCGATATCTGTTAAAGAAACAAGTTAGATAATGGAGTTTTGTTAATTTCATACATATGGGGCGTTGTGATCGCTCATCGACAAAGCCCCCTGTAAATATTTATTTATCTTGGTTTACTTATCTTAAATATTGCACTGACTGTAGCCATAGGGCAGATTTTAGCAGATTTTCGTTCGCCGCGATCCAGACAAAACATTGTTGCAAATAATACTTTCATCTACCCTTTCAGAGTTCTCAAATACTTCTTGATGATCTTTTCATTCTTCGATCCTCACCCATCATTATCAAGTAACCCGTCCATCGGAGTTGGAACTTTTATCTGTCGCATAATACTTGCTTCGCTACCCAATTTTTTGGTCTCCAATTGACTTTGAATCCAGCTCCCATCTTCCCTCTGGGTATAAGCTAGGTTAGGCAAAATGTTTTAAAACAAATAATTTTCGGATGCAATTATTTGTAGACACTTTGTGTTATTTTGAAAAAATCGCAAATATTTCTGATTGTAATGTTACAATGTTAACAGAGTTAATAACATCCCGCAATAATGTTTTTGATTCAAAGATCATATGGATATAAAAGTGATCCATTGTTTACTAGTTAATTACAGAATGGCTTTTTTCTCATTCGCAGATGGCGTCCAAGAGTTTGATAATTTTACTTTGTGTGGTTGCTTCGGTGTGGTCTACGTACACTGATAAATATGATAATATCAATTATAAAGAAATCATGGAGAATGAGAGATTATTATTAGCGTATGTAGACTGCGTCATGGAGAGAGGGAAATGTACACCAGAAGGAAAGGAGCTAAAAGGTTGGTTTAAAGTATTTAAAATTGAAATATCAGGTTTTGACATTAACCAGCTAGGCTATTGTTTCCATTAAAAAAGTTTGTAAGAAGAAAGAAACAATGAAACCAAAACATTAAAAAATATTGTAATCGTTAATAAACTAGGATTCAAAAACGTACAAACATTTATTTTAGTAAACATCAGCTATGTAAAAATTAGGTCACTAGAACTTATTACTATAGGATTTAAAGAAATAAAAATGCTTTAAAAATTTCAGCAAATTTGAATGAAGCTATCGAAAACGGCTGCGCGGAATGCACTGAGAAACAAAAAGAGGGATCTATCGATGTTATCCAGTACCTCATTGAACATCACCCAAAAATCTGGGACGAGCTGTGTGGCAAGTTTGACCCCACCGGCAAGTGGAGGAAACATTACGAAGAACAAGCAAAGGCTAAAGGAATAAAAATCGTGTAATTTACTCATGTAATATTTCAATTTTCAACAAGTCTCTTAAAAATAAATGTATTCAATAAAATGTGATTGTTTTATTACGTCAAAAAATCACTAACTACAAAATCCAAAGATAAACATATTACCTGGGACTTGTACAACGTAATACGACTGATTCCTTGGTTGAAAATATTGTCGATTTATCCATTATCTTGATTACATTTAGCCAAAATTGCGTAGCTCTTTAAAGCTTATAATTTAAACTGGCCAGGTCTATTACACGTTTAATTAAATGAGTTTGATCTATGAAAAAATAAGGTAAATAAGTACACAACATATACCATAAATACACCAAAATAAAACACTTGCGTTGACTGATAAATAAAAAGTATGACACTACTAGCTTACGCCCGAGACCGTTCGCGTGGAAGTAGAAAAAACAAAAGTGAATAGCCTATGTGTTCTTCCAGACTATCCTCTACGTCTATGGCAAATTTCATCGAGATCCGTTCAGCCGTTTAGCCTGCAAACTCTAACAAACATCAACCATTCGTCCATTCATTTAAACTTTCACATTTATAATATTAGTTAGTTTAGATTAGATTACACTTTGTCTTACACGTGAAGTACAAATGTCAAAACTAAGAACTAATTTTGTTATGGCATTATTTTAATTACAATGTACTTCAGGTTTTAATTAAAATAATAACTACAACATGGAACCTTAATCTACATATCTATCATATATCTATGCTATTGTAATAAAGCGTAAACTCACACTTCTTTATTGCCTAAGATGTCAGCAATTACAACACATTTTTGAATAATCCTTTTTTTTTAATATAAAGCCTTGCACTTACGTCACCCTTTAGGCTATTTATTTTCACGTTATTAAACTTAGGGGTAAATAAATTGGATGAAAATCCTAATGTGGCAAAGAGACTATAAACTGCTGCCAACATCAAGGAAGCAAGATTCCCATAAATTAGTATTTTGACATTTGCAATTGAGAATTTGACAAATGTAAACAATAAAACAAAGTTTTAATAATTTCATGCGGATGAAGCCGCACGGGAACAGCTATTTATTACAACTAAAATTCGATAAAACAGAATGTTATTCTTACCTGTTGTTATATTCCTGTGATAGGATTTTTAGGTTGTTTAGTTCTGATAATAAGTTTTTTTTCATACAACAAAAAAAACACTTGATGCTTGAACATATTTGAAAATGTATTCTTAGAAAACCGAAAAATTAAAATTTTACCCTGTCTTGTCTGGCCACGAAAAGAAACAGCGATTGCACAGGTAGTTACAAAATTATGCTTGAATTTTGTTCTTTTAGGATAAGTAGTTATATGATATTTGTGTTTTCAAGTCCCGTATTGATTTTGTTTGTGTTGAAAGTTTGTTCCACAAATTGTATTTACGAATAAAAATCAAGGTTTCAACGTGGTCAAAAGCTACATTTATTGTATTAAATATACGATACATTAGTAATGCAATATATTTGTCTAGTTTCCGCCCGCGACTCCGTTAGCGTGAGATTGAAAAGAACAAAACTGAGTAGCCTGTGTTCTTCCAGACTTTCCTCTATATCTATGACAAATTTTATCGAAATCCGTTCAGCCGTTTAGGCTACAAACTCTAACATACATCCATCCATCCATCTAAACTTTCACATAATATTACAAAGATTACCATAATAAAACATACTTTGTTGTTTATGTTTATCTTAATTTTCCTACGCACATGAACAATTTTTTTCATTATTTTCATAATTACCACATATTAATACATTGTCTTTACATCGTTTATGTTATCTAAATTAGCTAAATCAAACCTTAATACCTATTAGATAAATTGTTAACGTGAAAACAATCTAAATTTGAAAAAGTGTAATCGGGAAGTTATTTAAATATAGGCATTTTGCTGACTATTTGGACCAAGCAAAACACATTTTGACAATAATACAATTTTCTAAAGACAAAAACTTTATAAAACTATGTTGCTTATGTACAACATATCTCCTAATTAATCCTACTACCGTAAAATCGGCGCACCGGAATTTCATCCTCCAAATAAATCCGTCATATCAGTCATCACTTCCTTCAACGCTGTAATCATACTAATATTATAAATGCGAAAGTTACGATGGATGGATGGATGGATGTTTGTTAGCGTTTGCAGCCTAGACAGCTAAACGGATCTCTATGAAATTTGGCACAGGTTTAGAGAATAGTCTGAACACATAGGCTTCTTTTTGTCCCGAGAATAGTTACGGTTCCCGTGGGATTCCTTAATTTTGTTTTTAATGTATAATCGATCATTCTGAAATGGTCCAACATATCTTATTGAAATTTGGCACAGATATAAATCAAAGTCTAGAGTACACATGGGATAAGGTTCATCCCCGAGAAATGTCCGGTTCCCGAGGGATACATAGCTTTTTGTTATTTATAAAGTTCGTATGTTTTCTAATACCGCGCGGATGAAGTCGCGGGCAACAGCTGTTTAAATTCATAAATCGTTAATAATAATGCATAAACTTTTTCAAGATTCTTTTGTTTTTCATGATGTCTCACATAGGTAGACTAGACAGTTTAAAAATACGTAATACCCAAGGCCACAATTAAAAGATACAGCGGGTGGTGATAGTAAAGTTTAAACTTAACTCTTATAAACTTAACACGAACACGCAAATAAAGTATTTCAGTAATCTTTACTGTAATAATGTAAATTAATATTAATAAAGATTTTATTTAACTTGATCTGTATGCTTAGGTCAAGTGTAGAAAATAAAAATAGACTCACTACTCGTGGCCTTCCACTGAAATTTTTTACAACATTATAAATAAATAAAAAACCTCTTGACGCCTAAAATCTTTTTGAATAAATTCATATTTAATAAATCTAAGATATTCAAAAGGAAAAAACTTAGATATATAAAAGCCTACCGTATCGTACCAGACCATTTCTTTATTTAACAATAGTAATTTGGTATAATTAATTTAATAAAGAAATTAAACTAAAGAATTTTTACCCTTAAAGGTCTCATTTAATTTTTCTAGAAATATACGAACTACGCAAGTACTGAAACCAAAAATAAAACATGCTGTATATTTGCGCTTTTTACTGCATTCGACATAAGCAAGGTAATGATCAAACCGCGGGCAAATTAGATGTTTGGAAGACGTCGGAAACTAAGTATATATAGTCGCGGCGTTGTTTTGTAATTCATAACACATCAGGGCCTTTTGGGAAAACGTTATACAACTGTCATTATTTAAAGGTAAGCTTAAATTAAATAAATAAATATAAAATGTATTAAAAAACTATAAAAAATTGTTATGTTTCAAAATGTAAACGTATTGAAAATATCACGTAGAAGTTTTAAAAAAAATATTTACTAAATAAACTTTATTAAGTTTATTTAAAAATGTCTTTTGTAATAATTAATAGTTAAATACAAGATGCGTTACTATGCCATGTAAAGTTGGTTATATAAAAATATAAATCTTTTATTGAATGGTATGAATTAAAACATACTGCAAAAACCGGGACATCTTCATTAAAATATGTTTATCAATCCAGTAAATATGAAGTTTTCTGAAGAACTATCTGAGAGGAATGTATAGAGAATAAATATACGAACATTAATTTTTATCACCTATTTGGATTTTCAGATGATGGCCAAGAATTTGATAATTCTGTGCTGCATAGTGGCGGCAGTCGTAGCAAAGCCAACGTACACGGATAAATTTGATAATGTCGATTTGAAAGAAGTGAAGGAGAACAAGAAATTATTATTGGCTTATGTAGATTGTGTTCTCGAGAAAGGAAAATGCACTCCCGATGGAAAAGCACTAAAAGGTATGGCGCAACATGTAATATAACATATTCAACATCTCCAACAAAATAACTATAAAACTATAACTTAATATACGAGATTCAAAGAAACCTAACCTTCTTTGAATCTCGTACAATTATACTTTTATAGTTATTTTATAGGGAGTTAATTTTGTTTTAAAATATTTTACGCGTCTTTTAATATTTTTTGTATGTGAAAAAGACTAAGCAACTAAATTCCAATTTCCTAATTGTGGTGTCGACACTAGACAAGACGTAGATATATAGGTTTGTATATAACCATACATATATCATCTAAATCATACGTATATTATTACAGAAAACCTTAAAGACGCCATCGAAACTGGTTGCGAGAAATGTACTGAAAAGCAAAAGGAAGGATCATACGAGATGATCGAACACCTCATTGAAAAGGAGCCTGAAATCTGGAACGAACTTTGCGCTAAGTTCGACCCAACCGGCAAGTGGAGGAAGGAGTACGAAGAGAAAGCAAAGGCCAAAGGCATCAAAATCCCTAGTTAGATGTTCAATATTTTACGTAACTCGCTCTTAATGGGAATTATTTTCGGCAATATTTAAAATAAAATACATTTTATTAAATTTGAAGCTTGTTTTTTATTCCTTTTCCATTTATTTTATAATACAAAACCAATTTAACTCTAACTTATGTATGAATAATATGATGCTTCTCGTCATGTAATATTTTTACAATATCACAAAAGGAACAAAATCGCTGAAAATACAAAGTTATAAAAACAATAACTTAGTTACTATTGCTTTATAGATTTTTAAGATTGAAATTGTAATAAAGCATGTATTTTAGCATATTTGCTACCGTAATCAAAAGTTTACAGTCCATTTATTTGTTTGAAAACAAAAATTATATTAGAGTTTACTCTTTGTTTTACAAACAACCTCATTTGATTTTGATAATTTATCATCAATGCGATGTTGGTGCAAAGAAGTAAACAAAATGCAGATTTAAACACCATAATGAGTTTTCTATGTGTGCCGTACAATACGAATTTGAGTTCTTCGGCACAACCTATTCTTAAACTAGGAATGCACGGAAAGATCATAATACTGTCGAAAATGGGATGATGATGGATAAAGTAGTACTCACCAGCTCGATGCCCGCCTCACCTTCTACAGGTGCCTGGTCTCTGTCGGTGCCAATCGATTCAAGTCTAGTTCTGTCAAGTCTATAGGCGCCAACGATGCTATTAACAACAAAAACGATACGCCCGTTATTTCTTTCGCGTGGTCGGACAAACAACCACTTTCGATAACCTTTGAACTCGTACATTTAACCGACCGACTGGCGTGGCTGCTTGTACACTACTTTTTCTCCCGCACACCTCTCCGCAGGCACCGCGCCCCTGAAGGATTCAAAACTACCCACTAGCGCGGGAGAATAAAAATGTGGCCGCCTACCCGCATTAACCCGGGCCGCGAAATTTAAACTACATCTTTGCTACTGAACGTGACCAACCCGTAAGTACCGAACACTATGCAAGTGTACTTACTAAAACGTATTATAAACTCGGACTGGACCTTCCATATATCTATACCTTCGCCGCGCTTGTATATAACCTATTAAAAAAAACTCTTTCTCCTCATTAGCAGCATATTTATTTTTTACTTATACTCATTTGTTAGTCTCTAAACAAATCTAGTAACCTTGTACTATTCTGTTTTGATTTAAACGGCCTTTGAATACAATTATTTCTTTTTTTTGTTCAAAGAAGATTCATTTTTATTTCTTCTCCCAGTTTAAATGTAATAATTAACATGCTTAGTCATAAGATGAATCACAACACAATATCTGAAATACATAGCACGCTTAATGTTAAGAAAACATTTGTATTTCAAAACAGAAAAATTGCTTAATAGCATTAACTGTTAATTGTCTCAATAACAATGAAGAGTTCCGTGATTTTGCATTGTATTGCCTTGAATTATCTTTACCTTAAGGTATAAATGCAGACCTATCCTTAGATTACCTTAGTACAAAATAATTAATAGAAGAAGACAGTTTTCAGTTAGAATGAATTCGCTATTATTGTTTTCCTTGCTTGCTCTGTTTATAGTAACTTATGCGGATCAGTACACAGATAGATATGACAATATTAATATAGATGAAATTCTATCCAACAAGCGACTACTGACGTCATACATAAAGTGTATTTTGGATAAAGGTCGTTGCACACCGGAGGGAAAGGAACTTAAACGTAAGTATATTATTTTATTATTTGTATGTTTTATATCTGTTTTAATAAGATTTCTCGCTTATTTTAACGTGGAATTGATAACTTTCAAACGATCAATTTCACCTAAAATGTCTTCTATCGTACCTAAATTACAATTATCTGTATCTTATTACATACCTCAAAAACGTTCGTTAAAACTTTGTCAGAACAGTGAATTATTATTATTTTTTTGAGCAAGCGGCCACCTGAATCTACCAAAATGGAAAGCGACCGCTGTCCATAAACATCCGCAATTGCAGATGCGTTGCCTACCTCAATTGACAGAGAAGGAGACGCACATAAAGAGGACATTTCCCATTCTTATGCGTCTCCTCCACCGTCAAATCCACTTTTCCTTCCCATCCTTTCCTCTTAAGAAAAGGGTGGAAAGGGAAAGGGACCAAAATTAATATTTATAACATCGATTGCAAATACATTTATATCATGACAAACTAATTTTATGTTCGTTTTTAAATCATATAATCTTTGTGTACCCGAGACTTTACCTGTGTATTTCGTGCATTAACAATCGTCGTTTGTTTCGAGGATACCTTCTAGGAGTACACTAATTTTTATCCAATAAACAATACCAGAACACGTTCGTAATTTTCTATTAACTAATCAAGTTGATTGGCGCATTGACACGAAGATGACGTTGACTTAGTCTGACTTAGACTGACATAGTCCATCGTCACGTTCAGTCTAATCTTTTACTTTGTTATATTGATAATGAATATTAGCAAATATTAACAATGATTATTACTACAGTACACATCAAGGATGGAATGCAAAACAGCTGTTCAAAATGCACAGACTTCCAGAAAAATGGTGCTAGAAAAGTCGTCAAATACATTCGCACTAATGAAAAGGATTCCTGGGAAGAGATGAAGAAAAAATACGACCCAAAGGATGAGTACAAAGAAAAATATGAAGCTTTCCTTGCAGCTGAAAACTAAATGCAAAGAGAATATACAAAACCAATTCAAACTACTAAACCAAAATGTGTCCAAGTCAACTCTTTTGTCTACTGTTAGAATATTCCATTAAATTAAAATAAACGTGTTTTTATTTTTACATATCTAAATTAATTACATACTCCTTTGTAATTTAATAATAAATAATTAAATAATTGTACCTACTTCTATCATTTACATTAAAATCATGCCGAGATTGAGAACCTTTTCTATTTTAAAAGTCTAAGGTGGGCATAAAATTACCCTATTATCAAATTGCTATTATAAAAGTTTTGTAAAGATAAACGAATCATAAAAAGCAATTCATCATCAGTACATAGTTTCAAAATCTATGTCTCGTGTATATTTAAAAGGAAACAGTGCCATCTAGAAATTACACATTACAAACAAATAAAGTGCAATTGATACGTAACAATGGGGGTCTTGGGAAAACTTCCTAAGGACAATTCTACTAATTGAATAGATGACTCACAAATTCTTGTCAGTGGACGAGGTTACACTTTATTCAATTACCTCTTGACGCAAACTTGATTTAAACGACTTTTAATTAAATTTTATTTAAAGGAATTGCACTTTATCTTTTATTTCCAACGCATTATGATATTTTCTTACGTTAGTTGCTTAAAAAACTGACCATGATCGTTACAAGGTAAGTATCTTATTTGTATCCTCGATGATATGATCTCCAGGCGCCTATAACATTTTTTACATATTTGACGTAAACGTGAAATTCCACTTCGCAGGCAAAACAGTTGTATGCAATCCTTTTATTATTTTCAAAGAGATGAAGAGGTAAAACAACATATTTATCGTATAGGGCAAATCCATAATAATTATAAAAGCATATAATTACTAGAGATACTAGGAATACTTTTAGTGAATCTCAGCCTTTGTTGGAATGAAACAAATTAAAAAAAAAACATATTTGTTTGAAAAATTTTATCACTGACAACATAAACGCCTTACCATAATTAATAGCAAATAATCATTAGTGTTCATCTGCTTTATGTTTTATCAAATTCATTGTGTCGTGTTTCATAATTTCTAGACCAACAAGGCAATGAAAATTCACTATAACTTTTCCAAAATTAATAAAAAATGAACTCATCTCGTTGTTTCATACCATTACAGCTTTTGATAACAATACCAGGTTACCAGGATAGAAAATGAGATTGTCGAATTTATCTCATCTTGCTGGGAGAGAATCACTTTTGACCCTCGTACTGATAGTCAACTTTTCATCAAGGTAAAAAAAAGAAATATTAAATGTCATTGCAAGCAAAAGGTTCAACTAAACCTTTTTTACTTTACCAAAATTTCAATATGTCCAGTGGCATATGACCGCAAAGATGCAAACATGCGAACAAAGTTTTATTTACACAGGAGGTTTCTAAGAGGTCGCTGGACCACGAATATATTTGATCATATTAAATACCGATAAAAAGATCTGAGATCATAGAAATAAATAAACACATCTTTGGATTATTATTTTTTACTAGTAACTAAACATATATGAAGAAGAAAATATTAGCGTATCGGACTCAATCTGGAACAAAAAATTGATTCTTCAAATATAAATAACCTAAAAGCGTCACGGGCAAAAAGAGAGTCAAGTTTTTATTCTTTGGTTTCTAACATATACAGGATGTTTTAAAGCATGTTTTGTCAAAATTAATCAAAATTATTTTAAATTGTAGTATGAAGACACTTGAATCATTTCTATATTACGGGTAGTTAAAAAAAAAGGAAATGCTTTGAATTTAACTGTAACGCTGACTTTAATAATGGTATTATTCACTAGTAAGTATAGTATTAAATTATAGATGGTAATAATAAAAAAACTAATAAAAAAAGGTAACAATAAAATCAGTCTAAATGAACAGAAGGCTACTAGCGCTTAAGAAGTTTTATATTATAAATCTTTTACGTAAACATATAAAACCTGCAAGGTTAACATCAAAAATGTCATTGTTAATGCAATTTAATAAAATTCCACTCATTTCTGCACTTATCTACAGCAAAGCACATCCTGTATATTGTTGTTGAATAAGCCTCAAATGGTGGGGATGGCGAATTAAAAGGTTGGGACGAGATCAAAAGCGCTATAAATACTCAAAGTACGGCAACATGTCAACCAAATAATCTGCTTCACTAATTTAATATATATTTAAATAGTTCACAGTGAGTTTATTAATATTAATTACGATAACTAGTTTTTGCCCACGACTTCATCTTCGCGGCATTGAAAAATCTACTAATATAGCCTACGTTACTCAATAACAAAGTTGCTTTCTAACAGCGAAGGATTTTTTTGGAATCGGTCCAATAATTTTTGAGTTTTGTTAGTGACGTACAAAATCTTCCTCCTCCCCGTAAATATCTCTTCTTCTTTCTTCCTCCATATAAATATTAAAGTACCAGAAAAGCTTAATTAAAAAAAAACGTTACATTAGAATATAAAAAATCATATTAGAATTATTCTTCCAGATGACGAGAACAGTATTAGTGTTGATGTGCGTTTTGGCGGCAGCACTGGCTGAAACTTACACTGACAAATATGACAACGTTAATCTTCAGGAAATCGCAGATAACGAAAGACTGCTACAGGCGTACGTTAACTGCTTACTTGAAAAGGCGAAATGTAGTCCAGAGGGAAAAGAACTTAAAGGTAAATTTTTTAATTATGTATTTCTTTGTAAATGAAAAGAATGCTTCAATATGGAATACAGTTAGAATGGAATATAGCACAGTTACACTATATCTTTACAATAAACTAGATGTTGCCTGCGACTTCGTCCTCGTAGTTTTTTTTAAATATAGCCAATGTTATTCAGTGATACCGTAACTTTTTAAAGGTACAAGATTTTTTTCAAATCTACCCAGAATTTGAGTCATTTTAATATTCGCAAAAAAAGAAAAAAAATAGTATAACACAGATGAAGAACAACTTCATTAGATCTATAGAAAGAAAAGTCAAACATTTTGTAAAAACATTTAAAAAACAGACTACAGATGTTTTACATAAATATATTTTAAGTCTAGGATCTAATTTTGTATTTAAATAACAATTTACTACAAATTTTATGTTTAATAATCAAATGCACACCATTATCATATTAAAACAGGTTTATTGATTTTACATTGCTTATAATTACAGCTCATATGAAGGATGCTATCGAATCCGGTTGTGCCAAATGCACAGACACCCAGAAAAAAGGTACCAACTTTATGATTAACCACCTGATTCTGAAGAAACCGGAAATTTGGAACCTACTCGCCGACAAATTCGATCCCACAGGCAAATGGAGAAAGGTTTACGAGGAACGCGCAAGGGAAAATGGAATCGTCATCCCGCATTAAATGTAATTTAAACTCGACGTAAAAATTACAAAACAGCTTTCTCAATTTATTTATTATTTAATAAAACTGGATAACATTAATACGACATTTTAATTTTTAACCTTTCTCACTTTTCAAACCTCATATAAACGAAATATTTACCTATCTTTGCTAGTATTATGAAAAGGAAAGATTTGTATTTTTGTATTTATTGAAATAACTCAAAAACTATTTAACAGATTTCAATAATTCTTTCACCATTAAAAAGCTACATTATCAGTGAGTAACATAGGTTTTGTTTTTATATTATTAATTTCACGCAGGCGAAGCCGCGAGCAACAGCTAGTTATCTATAAAACGCTTTATAAAGTCATAATACAAATAAGACGAAATTTAAAAATAAACTAAAAAGTTGTTAATAAAACGGAACAACCTTTAAATGTTTCTGTAACGAAACCTTGATATAAAGAACGTAACATAAATATAACAAATATCTTGGCAAAGGCGGAAATTTCCATTGCCCTACGTAAATAATCATTTTTTTTAAAGTAACTAATCTCTTTATATTTTACTTTTTTTATAAATTACTGAATCTATTAGACATAAGTTAGGTTTAATGTTCGTAAGATACGGGTTTCTTTCCACGATTGAATTGTTTTAGCTCCCGATATTTCGGCTCAGTTGCATGCGCCATGTTCACGGGCTGACTGAACACTAGCAAATTCAATCGTGGTAAGAAACCCGTATCTTACGAACATTATATTTGTAAAAACCACGACAGTTTATAGTTATACATAAGTTAGGTTTGTTCCTTTTTTTAATTATAAAAGGAATTGTTGCTTTTAATCGAAATAGTTTTACGTTAATATTACGTTCCTACATATACACATATACTAAACACCGAAATGAGGGAAACAAGTGACTTTATATAAAAATGTATAGAAAAACTGGTAATTAAATAACCAACAACCAATCAACAGGTCAGCATAATAAACAGAACTTTAATTATTATCCAGAAAAATGCTAAATATTATAAAAAGTTTGGAGCTAACCGCTGTAAAATCGCAGCTATTTCATATCAAAAATCTTATTTTTCTACACAGTAGAACGTATTTATAACGACGTGATAAACAAATCAAAACAAAAGAACCTTTAAAATACAAAGCACTAAACGGATTCAACAAAAACGTACACTTGTTGAATACGTTTTGTTGTAGACATCAAAATCACAGAGAATACTATCTGAACTACTGCAAATGTAAATAAGAATGTAAATAAGAAGTAATGAAAATAAGAATCACAGACATTAAATAAATATAACTAGTTTGTTGTAATAGTAAAAAAAAATGAAAAAAAAAAAAGATTCTGCCGGAACTACACGTATTTTAAGTAATTTAACATATTTAAACTAAAATCACAAACCGTAACAGAATTGTTTACAGTTTTCATTAATTAAAGTAATTAGTTATTATAAAAAAGTTATTGAAGACCTTAGGAAATAAATTAACAGTGTAAAAAAATGTTTGAAAATTATATAAATATGAAGTTCATAGTTTAATTCGTCACACTCGTTTTATTGTATACTTCAAATATTAGTCGTAAGAAAATCATCAAAAGAAAATAATTTAAACGTAAGAAACTTATTAATTTTTATTCATTAATTTGTGTCAAACCTTATTAAAATTTGTATTTTAACATTAAGTTTTGTTTACGAAGAAAAAACATTTAAAAAGTTAATGGCTATTTTAGACGAACGTTAACTTAATATAACCTATACTTATCCTAACTTGAAAGTCTTGTTTTTATTGTATCAGTGCAAATTCCCTTATTGTAATTATTGTTTTATTGCTATTTTTTTCTTGCAGATGACTTTCAAAGTACTTATACTTTGCGTTGTAGCGATCGCATTCGCTGAAAAATATTCCGACAAATATGACAACGTTAATATTCAAGAAATTATAGAGAACAGAAGAGTACTACTATCATATGCGAATTGCCTTTTAGACAAAGGGAAATGCAGTCCAGATGGCAAGACGCTTAAAGGTAACTATAATGTTAATACGTTACAAACATTTTGTTCACCAGTAGTAAGAATAAGATGTCATTAAAAAACAAAAGTTAACAAAACGTTTTTTTAGATAATCTGAAGGATGCTGTCGAGACGAATTGTGAAAAGTGCACGGACGCCCAAAAAGAGGGAACTTCCGTCATGTTCCGTCATTTGATCGAAAAAGAGCGAGAAATTTGGAATGAACTAACCGCTAAGTATGACCCAACTGGGCAATGGAGAAAAACGTACGAAGACGAGATCAGAAAAAGTGGCATCATTTTACCCTAAAAAGATAACAAATCGCAAAACTTAGACATTTTTTGCCTAAATAAATAGATGTACAAAAAAAATTAACCTCACATGTAGCCTAATTATAAACAATAAACCGATATTTAAATAAATTACATCAGTTAACTATTAATAAATGTACTTAAGTACTTAAGCGTTTTATTTTCTTTAAGCAAATAAATTTATTGTATTTAAAAACTTTTCATGAGTCCATTTATGGCTTTTAGAAATATTAATCTGTGGTAGTAAACTCCAGGAACAAGAAAAAATAATCCAAAAATTACAGCCTATAAAAATTTATTTAAAATTTAAACGTTCTTAATTCATTTTCATATTTGGTGACGTACTTATGGTTCCGATCGTATTTGTCTGTCAACTGTCTCCAGTAAGCCGGCTCGTTATTGATGAGGTGTGCGATCACAAGTCTAGTGCCTCGCCGTTGAGTGTCCGTGCACTTAGCGCAGTAATTCTCCAATGCTTCCCTTATGTGAGCTGAAATAGAATTCAAATATATTGAAAACTATGAAAGTAAAAGAAACTAGTTACTTGTGCCAGAGATTTTATTTCTTTAGAGAACTTTGACTAAACTATAGCACAACTGTGCGTTTGTCGATTGTTTCGCAGCCAATGCAACTGTTACACGACTAAAAATCGAGTAGTGAGCTGACCTCTATACAAGCTATTAGGAATCAAAGCGCGACTAAACAGTTGTGCGATAGATTAGTCAAAGGTGTGCACAGGCTCTTAATATTTCAACATTTTCGAGTAAGAGGTCGGCTAATAAATATTTGAATTAGTTTTAATAAAACTATTTAACAACGTTGATTCGGGATACAAGATTATTCTAATCGTAATAAATAAAGACCATTTCAATCTTTATGAAAGATATATTTTAGAATCATATAGAAATATAGTTAAAAAACAATAAAAAAAATCAAACAAGCATAAGTTAAATAAAATCATGCAACTCATAGATATATTAAAATTAGTATCATCGTATACCGGTAACTATATGTCTACTTATTTGCATAATTATTATTTATGTCTCATCTTTCCGGTCAATGACCTTAGTGACATCGTCAATGTTAAAAAGTCAGTACAGAAGAATATGTGCTATTATAAAGAGGAAACCTTTCTATATCAAATCTGTATTTAAAAACTGAAAATTCGTATACTACGTCATTAACAGAGAAAATCAACATCAAAATATAGAGTACTTACATTTCAATTCTCTGCCTTCGGGCGAACACTTTCCTTGCTCGAGGAGACACCTCAAGTAAGGCACAAGCAGACGTCTGTTTGAGACAACATCTCCCACGTTGATGCTATCATAACGGTCTGTATATTTGCCACTAGAACGGGCAGCAGTCAACGAAATTGACAGCAGGAACAAAAATATAACTAGTTTCATTCTGTAAAAAAAATCTCATATATATTTTCTTCGTTTCATTTTGAAGAATTCTTGTTATTGCACATATATCTGATTTCTCAATATTTTCGCTGTTAAATCTCAACATTTACAGCTACAACAATATAAAAAAATGAAGATTCTGAGACATGGAAAAAGCTAATTTTATCAGTAATATTGTTATGTTATGCGTGAATCTGCATAGAAATTAAAAAAAATGTAGCTACATTTTTACTGTACTCGAATAAAATATTCAAATCACAGATACGTAGTTGGGTTTAAGGGACGAAGTGCGACTGAGGTCAATGACCTCGCCGATAGAAAGCCACAGTTAAATCATTAAAGTTATTTGATGTTTTATAAGTTAAGGATATATTGTATAAAATAAATTACTTACTTGATTTTTTCCGAAATTAAGTAACGTAAGATGGAAACAGTCGGAGAATTTGTCGCATACTAAATGGATAGCAGATTCAAGGTTTTTTATATAGTCACTAGTTGACCATCTACCGTTTCTATGGACGAAAACAAGTTTTTTTTTAATGGAGAGATGGGTGTAGTTTTTTTACATTTCCTTCTACAGCCTCTATATGTTATTTTGTAATCAATGAATATTTTGACTTTAACAAATGCAAATCGCAAACTGTAACAATGACCACCATTTTGCTAGTACAGATTAACAATTAAAGACTAAAAGGCTATTTTGTGTAATACTTTGAAAACATGACAAAAAAAACTTCAAGCTTTGTAAAAGATTTTAAACAAAAATACTGTATCATAATAAAAAGTCCTTCGTACATATAGTTGTGTCCTTGAATTAAGTTTAAATTATAAACCAGTATCTGACGTCACAATCATAATAACTGTTAAATCCTAGTTCACGTCAGTTGATAATTAACTCACGTAAATACCGTTGGAACTTCCAAGTTAATCTCACAGAAAGTAATCAAATTATATGTTTACCTACTTTTATATATTTTAACCTTACCAGGACTTCGAATACTTTACTTTGAATTGAGTAATTTTGTTTAATCTTACAAATTTTATAAACGCGATAGTTTCGCTGAATGTTAGAGTTTGTAGCATAACTGTTAAGCAAATCTCGATTAAATTTGGCATAGATGTAGTAGATAGTCTGGACAAACAAATTGGCTATTGGCTTTTGTTTTTTATTTCCACACGAACGGATTCGCAGGGGAAAGGTATTTTATTATAACACAACATAGGTAAATTCGTCACATAATTATTGTTTATAAATGTAATTTGTGGGAAAAGTAGGTGAGTATTTTAATTTCAGCAAATAAATAAAAATGAATTATAACTTACAACTCTTTAATACGTTAAATACCAACTAAATAGTATTGAATAACTTTACAATTACAAAGATACACGAAATTTTTAACTGGTAGCAAAAAAGTAAGTAAATTTGATCCTTATTTCCACTGAGCGGCATGCCGCATGACTCTACCTAAGCGGAAACAGGCTACAATTGGTTATAACAGGAAATAGACGAAGAATGACTTAGTTACGAAGAAAGCTCTCGTAATTCTTTTTCGTATCTAATTACATATTTTCTTTCAGGGTCGTATTTGGCTGTGAGTTTGGTCCAGTACTCTTTTTCGTGGTTGATCAAATGTCCCATCACCTGTCTCATGCCTGATTTCTGCGCGTCTGTGCATTGCGCGCAATTGTCTTCTAACGCTTCCTTAATGTGTGCTAAAAAAAACAATTATATTTTGTGATCAGGTTTATAGTTTTCCAACTGTAAATTCGTCGCATCAAAAATTTATCATAAAATTATAACCATAACACAGTACGGCATTTTGATGAATCCTTGACCTCCGTGTATATCACCGTCAGGTCGTAAATGCCGCCCGTGCCTTGACTATTTGTTGAAAATTAGTAAAGAATCAGCAAATTGAACATAAAACAATTTAATTTGTACTGATTTGTTATGTTTTCTCTTCAATAGGTTTTAAGCGTTGATTGTGTGCACGTATTAAATTCACAGGCATTTTGAAATTAAAATCTCTTTAAGATAATAAATAACGCCATCTAGTTTACAAATCGTAAAAAGTACACTAGAATTCCGCATACTTACATTTGAGTTCTCTGGCATCATGAGAGCACTTGCCCTGGTCTAGCAGACATTTGAGATACCCCATCAACAGTCTTCGGTTTGCTAAAATTTCATCTAAATTTATATTGTCATAACGACTTGTGTATTTACGATTTGTTCGGGCGTGTGCAATTGTGAGCACTGTCAGAAGAAGAAAACACGCTAGCACTTTCATTCTGTAACAATAAAAACGCCTATTTAACCACCAATACTTACAATACTACAACCAACTAAGTCTATGGTTCTCATGCCTTTAAATAGAGGATTTCCAAAGTAGTTTAGATGTTACCCTGGAGAATATACGAGAACTAAAGAAGAATATAAGAGAAACTAAGAGAATATACGACCGTGGAAAATTAAGTTAAGGCTTCTTTAACACCAAAAACCGTTTTAAAAGGGCCTTAACACCTTCAGCACCAGACCCTAAATGAGCGTTTTAAAAATAAAACAATATTTTTTGTGTTGAAATGTGTTTAAAACTACATAATATATCGTTTATTATTTTCAACCCCGTTTTTCCCATTTTTTCCTTAGATTTTTATCCGTGTGACATTTAGATACTCGTGGCTTGGGAAATAGTTCATATGAAATTCATACCTCCCAGGCCACATACACAGGATTCTAGACACTGTACAGAAAGATACACATGGCGCCTAAGGTATTAATAATAAAAAAATGGAATCTTTTTTAATGGGTGAGTAACGTATTTGGTATTGATGATGATAAACACTTCTATTACAATCGTAAATAGCAAATACATAAAGCAAAATATGTACAGAAATACTTACTTGAAACGTAAATATTAGGTAAACGATAGATGAAACACTTTGAAGTTTATTATGAATACTGAAGCAAAATCATGAGGAAGGTTTTTATATATCTATTAGAATAACTCCTTCTTTAAAATTGCCAAAACGAGTTTAAAATGTATGTTGATTGAAACTGCTCACCTATTTTTTTATCTATAATTGTTATTTAATACGTATAAAGTTGTTTAGTTCAAGATTTTCCTGGTAACTAGGAAAAAATGATAGGATAACAGACACAAAAAGTTTATGCGGATTATGAGAGGAATATACCTATAAAAATAATTGAGAGATGTGACATGTCTAAATGAAATAAGATCAACTTTTCATAATGCTTTATTCATCGAAATAATTTATTGAAAACGGGAACTTTTGAAAATATTTACAACATTTTATCAGATGCAACTGGTCAATTAGGCGGCGATTTTGCGTAGTTCGGTCTCGTATTTGGTGACGTATTTGCGTTCAGGGTCGTATTTAGCGGTCAGCTTGCCCCAGTACTCCTTCTCATTGTTGATCAAATGACCGATCACTTTCCTGGTGCCAGATTTCTGGGTTTCAGTGCATTTATCGCAGTTGTTCTCCAACGCTTCTTTGATGTGAGCTGGTAAGAAAAAGGAATGTTTAAGTTGATTTTTGATGCAGAAGTAATTTAGTAACGTCTTACAAAAATCTGTGTAGAAATTTTTAACTATATTTAAAGCAGTCCCTAAGTGTATAGATCTACAAAGGCTTTGAATAGAACAACACTGGTGACAGATAAATTTAGTGAACGACCGAAGTTATCGTCCCTATTGTAATTGAAATCAATTATTAATCACATTTATGTACTCGTATTTCCTTTGTCACTAAAATATACGACAAGTAACTAGCAATAAAATTAAATTTAATAACTAGGAATTATGTTTTTAAACCTTGAATGTTGCCCAAACCGGTTTAGCATGCGTCAATTCATGATAAATATTGTGTCGGACAATTGACGAAGTCAGGGCCTACGTTGATGCAAAATATTAAAACCTGTTCTAAATATATTAATGATTTTTAAGCACGTGAGATGGTTATAATCAATTTTATTTAGTAACACAAAACGTGCTATAAAAACTTTAGATCCACGTTAATGTACGAGTAAAAGACTTGCGATTGCAATTTACTTCCTCTAACGCATGCTACACATAAAATAGACTAAACGAAAACAACCCAAAAGCTATCAATTACACCATCAGTTAATTCTATACACATACAGTATTACGCTCGCTTCGTTGTCATCGTTGCCTAAATAATTCATACCAAGGGCCGTCTTAATCATATCGAGAGCACGAGTGCGAAAATAAATCTGGAGCCCTACATACACGTATATAGGCTGGCGCTCCATGTGACTCAGTAGTCCGTACCTTTGGTACTCACAGATTCAGAGAGCTTTCCCGAAGTGGTATAGGAAGTCTCTAACTCGAACTCTTGGAGATGACAGTTTATTGAGTTCCGACAGTTTTGTTCCGACATAAAAGTGTCTTTTGCTGATACATCACGGGTTGTAATCTGTCCAGTTAGTTTTATAGATCAGGTATCCGCTTTGCTTTCAGAATTGACTTACATTTAAGTTCCTTGCCGTCGGGAGAGCACTTGCCCTCATCGAGGATGCAGTTGAGGTAAGGCACCAGCAGGCGGCGGTTGGCAAGGATCTCATCCAAGTCCACATTGTCGTAGCGGTCCGTGTACTGTTCCGCGCCTACGGCAGCCGCGAGCGCCAACAAGCAGACCATCAAGAAGGAATTCATTTTGGATCTGAGAATAACACGAATTCTGAATTTAATACGTTCTCTAGTTAAAGGGAAAAGTATACTAAACTGCCAACTTTCGATTACCGGAGAGGAATTTCAAATAGGAGGAATGTAAACTCTAGAAACATTATGTTCTACAATTTAAGTGCATATGGTCCGTGTTATTATTTTGTTGAAATTACGATGCACTTAATACAAAAAATATTTGTTCTCTTCAAAACAAATACCGAACCTTATGCAATATCAAACTATTATTGACTACGGAATAACATATAAGTAAAGCTGATGTTACCAGACTGTATGATATTAAAAATTACCTGTAAATATTGTTTGTTGATACACAAGCAAGCTAGATGTAAGATGCGTTCTACTTGCAAGCAAATTGTCAACTAATGCAGTGGGTTGCAGCCTGCCTATTATATCTAAGTACGAGGCTAATTGAAGTGATCTATGTGACGTTAAGACAATACCTGTCGATAGATCCGACGTAAATTAAAATTTTCCAACTAATTACACACGACATGTTCATGTTACATTTGCCTGATTACATTAAGTCTATATTTAAATGATGGTTCGATGCCGTTATTCATTTATCGTACGCATTCTTTAACCCTAAAGCTTTGGATTACATTATATAGCACATTTCACACATTTCACACTTCAATGCACATTTCACAGTAAAACACTTTACTTTAAAAGAAAATATTTTGGGCGACGCAAAAATAAGAGTTCTCAAGTCATAGGCGATAGAGTAGATAGTAAAAGGTATAAAAGAGCCGGAAATATTAAACACTATCCAAATAGAAGAAAATGGTTGATTTCTTAAATTTATTTCTCAAATACGTGCCTTTTAAAGCTTAAATTGTGGGTTCATGTTTTAGCTCAACTCGTCCGATGTAGGCATTGATATGTCAATATTGGCTGAGCCAGCATCCTAAATGGCTGTACGATTATGCCAGCTCGTTTCTTAAAGCCTAAGAGTAGCATGGAATTGACATGTCTTTCCAAAGACCAAAATCCCCTTTCCCTATCAAAGATAAAAAATGTGCTTTTTAAAGCTTTATTGTAGACTAGTTTTCGCCCGCGAATCCGTCCGCGTGGATTTAAAAAACAAAACTGAGTAGCCTATGTGTTCTTCCAGACTATCCTCTACATCTATACCAAATTTCATCGAAATCCTTTCAGCCGTTTAGGCTACAAACTCAAACAAACATCCATCCATCTAAACTTTCGCATTTATAATATTGGTATGATTTATATCATTATTAAGTAATATACAGTATTAAGTATCAATTCATTCGGACAATGCCGGGAATTAACATTTAGTTATAAATACGTGTTTAATTATGAGTACAATCGATTTAACACGAGATTTGTAACAGATTGCTTATATCTCCAAGGTCTTTGTTTTTTCTACTATACCTGTACATATTACGAGTATATAAAAGAAGAAACAGGTCAACTGAGTGCACCGATGTATAAACGAGCAGTTCAAAATACTGAGACTTTAAATACTGCACGGAGGTTTCTGTTACTACATAGTAATCATTCTACCTCTAAACGTCTAAAATACGAGATGAAAGTTTAAATAAGGTTTTTTTTAGAAATTCAGCCTCCAGACGGACAAGGGCGACAGCTAAAAATCTAGAGCTAAAAATTTATTTGTTTTCCTCTATACAAGTATTCTACAAATTTTTTTTTTTAATTAGGAATAGATAGTATAAATGGCGTACTGACGTACGTTACGCAATGTAATGTATCATGTTACACGGCGAGCATTCATACAGTCAGTACATTATTACGGGAAAACCAGTGAGAAACGAGCTGCTGGATACTAATTTCACATCTTGTAACATTACACCGCGTAACGTAGATTATTTAAAAAAAACTGCTTATTTCATGTTCTTAATATAAAACTTTCATTTTATTAGTAGCAAGTGGCTTCGGCGATGAACAAGATTTGAAAAAAAAATACCAAATTAGGAAAAAACACAAATTTATTACTGCCAACAAAAACAAAACAAAAAAATAAACTACATCGAGTTAAAAAGTTTGCGCTTAAATTTAAGCAGCGGTCCTCAATTCGTTTTCGTATTTAACTGAGTACTTATGTTCAGGATCGTATCTTGCAGTCAGGTCGTTCCAGAACTCCTGTTCGTTGTTGATCAGATGGCCGAGTACTTTGCGAGTACCTTTACGTTGAACTTCGGTACATTTCGCGCAGTCGTTCTCAACCGCCTCGGCGATGTGCGCTAAAACAAGGTAATCAAGTTAGATGAAGAGCCAATGTCGTAGATGAGGTCGAGGAGACTAACGTAATAGTAATGCAAATCTTATTAATACGAAAGTTTGGATGGATGTTTGTTGCCACATAACTCCAACTGAAGGGATCAGGGTTCCCCCCTGGAATAGACATAGATTATGGCGCATATAATTGCTAATAGGCTGCCCGCTAACAGGTTTCTTGTTAGGGCAGACGGCGTCCCGGGCAACAGCTAGTATTACATGAAAGCAGTAATAAAGCTTTTTTTTTTAATGTATTGAATTGGTGTTATTATTGCAACCGGAGCGAGGTTCTTATAAAACATAATAATCGCCTTTTTTTTATTTATTTCGACTCTATCATAGTTTCAATAAATGTTTGTATGTAGGTTGATTTTATTTCATAGAATTGATGTTTTTGTTGAAAGAAAATCGCTAAAACAGTGTAGAAAACTGTAGAAATTTTTAAAAACTGATATTATTGGTATCAATAGATACATAGAATTGCGATTTATTTATTTAAATGTAAAACTAAATTTACATAGTCCTTCGCGTAAAAGATATTAATAAATAACATTTTTTGTATAGTTGGTAAGAACGAAGCTCACCTTGAACATTCAACTAAGATAATATTACAATCGATGCACTCGCGCCCGTTACCCAGAAGAGTAGACAGAGAACAATAATTTCATAATACCACCCGGTTTACAGGCTTTTCTTTATAATTTTCCCCGATATCAAAAATGATACTCCTTACATATGAAAATTATGATGTAATGGGATATAAAGGGCACAGGCAACAATGCCATATTCCTAGCTTCAATGTCCCATAAAACACAGTGTATTAGTAAAAGACAACTTCACATTTAAGAGTTTATAAATCTAATGTACAACTTACATTTGAGCTCCTTGCCATCAGGAGTGCACTTTCCCTTGTCCAAGACGCAATGGATGTAGGGCACTAGAAGGCGACGGTTGCCGATAATCTCATCGAGGTCGATGTTGTCAAAGCGATCAGTGTAGGTTTCCGGCATGGCGGTCGCAATCGCCACCGCGGCCAGCAGACATGCCAATGTTAGACTCTTCATTCTACAAGGTTTACAATTAAAATTTCAATATTGTAAAATTAAATCAGCATTTTCTTACTTATTACGTAATACAGGAGTGAATCCAGATATGACGGCTGTGCCTCCATAGGGATGGGAAGGAAAGCAAGAAGATTCGGGACTTTTATATATGAAAAATTTGTGGAAATTAGGTATAAACTTAAAATGTTTAGCGGCATCTTGCCTATATAAATTAAATATTTTATATAGACCTTATAACTATTTCTATATCTTGAAATTTTAGGTCTGGATTTCATAATCTTAACAAATTTCAATTATTTTTTCCCTCAAACAAAATGATAAAAGAATAAAAACTCTCTTAGTTCCAATTTTGAAAATACATTTTAAATTAACATAAAAATAGGAAGAAAATGTACAATACCTGTAATGTAAGTAAATCCAACGCTGCACAATTGACAACTTAATTCAACAACACTATGTACTCACATTATATACCAAAGTTACATCGCGTTTTTGACAATGAAACATTTTTTTTCACTAATACATCAGTGGGGATTGTGATTTTCTAAGAAAAAATCTATTACCATACCATTATTGCAGTGACAGTACTGACGTCAATAAAGTTACTTTTTTTGTCTTAAGTAACAAACTTAGTCACTACCATTCTAAGTTAAGTGTGGATGTGTCGTGTTACCCTTAATATCGTACTTAACACATTTAGATTTATCAGTAATATTGCTTTCAGTAATCTATCTGAAGGGTAGCTGACATAGACGGGCATAATATAGGTTATTTTTTAAATTCCGCACTGTCCACCGCGTTGGTTGTCCAAATTTGCACTAATGAAGGATGCGGGTTAATCGAAAAGGTTAAGTTATTTTGCTATTTGGTAAAATGGTAAAGTATTTGTAAAGTCACTTATGACAAACTAGCTTTCACGCGCGACTCCGTCCGCGTGGAACTGAAAAAAAACACAAGTGAGTAGCCTATGTGTTCTTCCAGAGTATCTTCTACGTCTATGCCTAATTTCACCGAGATACGTTCAGTCGTTTAGGCTACAAACTCTAACAAACTCCATCCATCCATCTAAACTTTCGCATTCGTAAGAAGATGTCTATCTCCCATCTCCATTCTTAATCTTCTGGCTTTAAATGAACCTAGCAATTACAAACTCTCTCTTACGTTGCTAGTAGACGTGTTCGTGTTAAAATAAATAAAAAAAGTCGCAGATCAAAGCCATAGAAAACTCCTCCTTGTAATAATTTCCTGCATAACTTTGACTTATGTTTTGAAAATTATTTGATATTTTATCATAGATCTGTTAATTTTTCATAACCATACTTCCTACTATATAAATGCGAAATTTTAGATGGATGTTTGTTAATGTAGCTTAAACGGATGAACGGATCTCCATCGTCAAACCCTCTTAGGGTATTCTCCGAGCCTCTCAGTGAAGAAATATAGTGAGCTGGTGATGATAATGATGACCGACTAACATCAAAAAGCGATTATAAGTTTTTTTTTTTAAATATTAGTAGATTTTTGTTAATTTACTAATATTTCCTTTAGCCATTCCAACTAAGCTCTAGGCTTGTGCTAGGACATGGTTCACGACAATAGTCGAATGACGGGATTCGAACCCTCGACCGCAAGATCGGTAGTCCGTACTTCAAACCATTAGGCTATTGGCGCTAAGTAGCGTAAAGTTTTCTCGTAGGACAACAAATCGAATTAATAAAACAATAAATACAAAGTAATAAAATTTACATCATGACACAAGAAACTGAATTTAAAAAAGGTGACTAGGAATTATTATTAAGGTTAATCAATTCAGTAAAAGTTACATAAACACTTTTTTCCTTGGTTGTACGTATTACATGCTGTTTGCAAGTTAACTTATAAATATTCAGTTAAAATGAGACAAGCAATGATTGCTAAACTTTGACCGATCCAGACGATCTTGCCATTGTCTTGTGATATTACGCTTTGTTTTATTAATATTTTGTAGTTATTTAGAAGACATTTTAATAAATCAGCAAACGGTCTAGCTAATTATTTACGATATCTGCACACTTTAGACTAAAAACGATATTCTTGTCAAGTAGAAAAGAGTAGGAAGTTAAGGAAACTAAAAAGGAAATGGACACGACAAGATAGTTTCAAACAATTAAAAAAAAACTTTATTTATTTAGATCCAGTTTTTATTTTTGGGTCGGCATTATAGTCGTTATAATTTAACAAATAATAACTATAGTAATAATCAGATAAACTCTATTTATTTATAAATCGATTAATAGTAATCAGACATTGCTTTAACAAGTTATAAAATTATATTATGTATTTGTATTGCACGTAATAATTGATACAAATCTATTTACTCGGTTAATACATGATCAGGCTACAATTATTTAATATTGTTGTTATATTATAATAAAGACATTAACAGCAACAACTATTGTTTATATGTATAAAACTAATGTTTTAACTGCTGCACTCAGAGCCCTTAATTGACCACTAACATTCAGAAACATTATGAGCAATTGTAACTAAGAGATTCCCTTTGTAATCTATTAGCAAATCTGAAAGTAGCAGCAAAAAATATTTATTACTTATCAAGGCAACTGTGCGTAATTTTTACTCTACTTTACGCGACAATTTTGCGTAATTCTTGCTCGTATTTACGCGTGTATTTGTTGGTAGGATCGTATTTCTCACAGAGTTCTTTCCAGAATGTTGGCTCGTGGTTGATGAGGTGGCCGATGACCTGGCGGGACCGTGTCCTCTGAGGCGGGGTGCATTGGGCACAGTTGTTTTCTAACGCTTCTTTTATGTGAGCTGAAAAAAAAACAAATTGCATAAAATGAAATAGATTAATCAGTGAACTCTACGGTATTAATCATTGTATATGTTTTGTAGTTTTCCAAAATATGTAAATTAATTTGACAGTAAATATCACTGCATACCTTGGCTGACACCGACATCAAAGTAATAATAATTGTACAATATAAACATAAGAACTACAATAAGGGAGGTTTTCTATTTTCAAGGAATTATTTCGTTACTTTTTAGTGTACTGTTTTTTTTTGAGAATATTTTGTTTTTTGTGTATTTTTAGTATATTCAAACTTGATTAAGACTATTCAATTGGTGTATATCTAAACAAATAATGTATTCTAATATTGGTGGAAAAATACTAAACTAGATGTTATGGAAGGTGTGGTTCCTTGAATCTCTTATTCACGTCACGAGGTATGGTAATATTTTTACTCGGTAACTAAATCCATCGTTGTCTTTTATCTGATCTTATGAATAAAGGTAAATTCATAGTATTTTGATTAATTATTGGAAACATACATAGAAATTAAAACAAGAAATTAAGACTTTTCTCGAACGTGTGTCTTTAAGCAATTTCAGTTGTATGGAAGGGATAACATATCGGTGGAGATAAACAAAGCAATCTAATTGGTATGGATGCGTTAACTAAGAAAATTTAATTAACACCGTCATCGTCCGGCTTCTGTTAATTAGTTTAGTCAAATACTTGCGAATAATTAAGACTATCTATACTAATATAATAAAGCGTAAACACACATTTCTTTGTTGCCTAAGATGTCAGCAATTACAGCATATTTTTGAATAATTCTTTCTTTAATTAAAAGCACTCTCACGTCACGCTTTACGCTATATATTTTCACGTTATTAAACTTAAGGAGTAAATAATTTAGAAAAAACCGTCATGCAAGAAAGGAACAAAAACAACAAGCGGACATTAAAGCAGCAAGGTTGCCATGGTAACAGTAATTGTTATCCAATATTAAGGCCTTAGTGGCCATTTTTATTTTACATTAGCTTTCGCCCCCGACTCCGTCCGCGTGTAATAAAAAAAGACAGTAGCATATGTATTCTTCCAGACTATCCTCTACGTCTATCCCAAATTTCATCGAGATCCGTTCAGCAGTTTAGGCTACAAAGACTAACATCCATCCTTCTAAACTGTCGCATTTATAGTATTAGTAAGAAGTAAGATTTTTTTTTTATTTATTTTTACAGGGGGCTTTGTCGCGAAGCGACGATAAGTAAGATTTTCAATTGCAAATTTCACACATGTAAACAATAAAATAAGAATAAAGCCGCACAGGAACAGCTCGTTTTAGATAAGTCTTATTAAACTGTACTTACATTTAAGCTCCTTTCCTTCAGGTGTACACCTGCCCTTGTCGAGCAAGCAATGCACGTAAGGTACGAACAGTCGTTCGTTGGCTAGGATCTCGTCAATGTTGATGTTGTCATAACGATCAGTGTACTGGCCGGTGGGGCCAGCATTGACCTTAGCCAACACAACGAACAAACACAATACAACGACACTCTTCATCCTGAAATACAATAAATTTCTATCATCAACCGAACAAGGAAATGCTTGTTAAATAAGAGATAGATAAGAAATAGCGACAAAACTATTAGATTATTATCATTTGATATTTACCCGATCTTAAAAATTGATCGAGATAGTTAAGTTCTGCAGCTAAAGACTTTTAGTCGCAATTTTTAGAATCGGTTCAGTGGCTTTTTATTAATGATTTTATTACATTAATAAGCGATATAAACACTAAACAATGTTAATTACTCGATGTTTTTGTTTTAATAATTATGTTATATTTTATTTTGCATTTAATTAAAGAGTAAATATAAATTAACTCGAAATTTGTTTTTGTAAACTTTATCCTGTAGATAAGAGGGCAATTATTCTGTTACCTTAATTTTTCTAGAAAGCTATACACGTCTAGTCACGTACAAATACACTTTAATGTATATTGGGAGATCGGGACGGTTTACTTTTTATAGTGTACATGACTTCATTTTTGGACAATGTGATAACTCGTTTTGGGAGTTTTTTATCCGATTCGTCAAACTCGCCTTCGTCATGTGTGGTGTTAATTGAAGTTAAGGCGAAGCTATGACGTTAAAGTCTGTTGTATAGTTTTTTTTTTTTTTTATTTTATATTGCCTCTGAATATTGAACTTTAGATAAAAGCACTAAAGAGCAATTTTCTTGCAACTCATTTAATAATTGTATACCTAAGTACATTTGAACTATTTTGCTCAACAGATGATGTCAGTATTTATATAGACAAACATAATGTGTGAATATTGTAATATTAGCACATGAGTCCTGTGCATACAAAATGCAGTTTGCATAAAATAAATGTGGTGACTGTACCTATGTTTGTTTTAAAATAAACGACGAATAAATCTAAGTGATTTGTAACTTGGACTGTAAGTACATCCAAGTTTAATGTTTTCAGTAATACAAACGCCTCTATAATGTTATTCTAACTGCCTAATATTGAAACGTAATATTTGACGTCTATCAGATGGTAAGCGGCACTTGTGAAGCAAAGTATTTAAGATTCGTTTTAATATTTGGCCGTAAGATTCCAAAGGTATCTAAAATAATATTTCAACAGCACTTCAATTTATAATAGGATGTCTTTGGTACTTCTTACATATTTACGTAGTTGTATTAAATAAATAAATCTTATATAGCAGATGAATATGATTATTATGATATTTAAGGCGTTATGCAGCAAGCAATATTTATGTCACAAATAGGCCTAGACCTTCTCACTTCAAAGGTTAGCAGTACACCTCGCTGATCCAAGGAAGATCAATGTCTCCCAATTATTTATGTTTAATTTTTTTTTTACAGTTTCTTATAATGCGAAGAGAGTAGATGTGCTTGAATAAAATTATAGTAAAGATGATTTGGCGTTACAAATACTACTTGAAACCAGTCTTCATGATGTCACGGTACATTCCCAGTCCATCGAATTATACATAAACTTTTATTTACGCTTTACATTTTTCCATAGATAATCATTTTGTGTTATGGTAAAAATATTGGCGAGTTTTTAATTTTAAACCAGTTTTAAAGGGGTTATTATTTTATTACACGACTTAAGGAAATACCATTGTCAAATTGTCATACAACTCGTATGTCATAATACTCCGAAATAATTGTACATTTAATATGTTTATAAACTTTAATTGGAGGTAAATTACTGAATGGCTGACCTCTTCCGTTGGCGGTGCAAGGGCGTCGTACCACATTACTCTCGTACACCTCACAGACGATTTGCCACAAGGCTGTTGACCAAAAAACATTTAAAAATAAATCGTAACACCATTCCATACAGTGCAAAATCGTTTAAAGCTATCTATAATACAGTAAACAAATAAAATTATAAATTATCCAATGTCGCGTTGATTCCTTAGAACTGTCACATTAGATTTTGCGGTTTTTCCTCAATACTTTTCCAGGCTGTTTGCCTCAGCGACTCAGTGGTTTCATCACAATTATGATAGATACTCGGACTACTATTATTTATCAATTGTAAACTGAATAATAATAATAGTCCGAGTGAATTTAATTGCAATGTGTGTAGTTGTTCATTTTTCAATTTAATGTAGATTTTTATGACTAGGTTTCGTCCGCGACTCCGTCCGCGTGTAATTAAAATAAAAACAAAAGTGAGTAGCCTATGTGTTCTTCCAAACTATCCTCCACATCTATACCAAATTTCATCGAAATCCGTTCAGGCTACAAACTCTAACAAACATCCATCCATCCATCTATCCATCCATCCATCCATCCATCCATCTAAACTTCGGCTTTTATAATATTAGTAAGATAATAATTACGTTAAAAAAAAGTAAATTGAAGTGCGAGCTTAAGCCAGGACATGTGGAATAAACAAATCAAATCAGCTAATATAATGGGTTTAGTTATCATTGTAACAATGCATTGATTAAAATGGCACTAAAAAGCCTAACAAAATATAAAATGTTTACGTTACTTAGGTTAATAGTTAATTTATTAACTTCTAGTTTCACTGCGCATTTTCAAAATTCATTCAAAAAATATGTCTGTTGGTATTTAAAAAAATCACTGAAACGTTCAAAAAGAGTCTGCCCACTGCTCGATAGGCCTTTCCCAATGGCTTCGAAACTACGCAGTCCTCCGTCTTCAACTACATGATAGTAGGTTCTGCTACGTAATAAGGAAACATAATTTTGAGACTTAGAATACCTTAAGTACTTGATGTTCGCATGATAGGAAACAATTTTATGCAAGCGGTCTAAAATAGCTGTATTAATTTAGAAAAATACCCACATTATTTCCAGGATATAAAAGCAAATGGTAAGCGATACAGAATGCAAGTTTAAAATTTCACTTCACTTTGATATCAAGGAATTTGAGGTACTTAGAGCTGTTTTCTATATCTATCTGTACTAATATAATAGAGAGTAAAGATTTGTATTTTTGTATATATTGAAATAGCTCAAAAACTACTGGGCCGATTAAAAAAATCTTTCACCGTTAGAAAGGCAATTCATCTGTAATTAACATAGGCTACTTATTTTTTAAGTTCACGCGGGCGAAGTTGCGAGAAACAGATATTTAAAAAAATTAAACTTTTAACACTACAATATTTACTTTAACTCTTGTATCTATTTATCCTATACTTGTTTGGAATATTTCCGTTTTATATAGTTGCTGTTTATTATATCTATCGATCATTATCTCTTGCAAAAACTTAACCTAAGAACAAAGTTCGTTATTATGTAAGTATTTATAAACAAATTCGATCTGTTATTTACTTAATATGACATCATAGAATCGCTTAATGTTTTAACAAACTAATAACAGTTATGAAAACGAACGTGCAAATTACATTTCTGATAGTGGAAGTTGAATTATTTTGTTATTTACAATATGTCATATTAAAAACTAGCTTACGCCCGCGATTCCGTCCGCGTCGTATTAATAAAAACGAAAGTGAGTAGCCTATGTGTTCTTCTAGACTATTTCTACACCTAGACCAAATTTCATCGAAATTGGTCAGCCGCTTAGGCTACAAACGCTAACAAACATCCATCCATCTAAACTTTCGCATTTATAACATTAGTATTAGTAAGATAAACAAATTTACAAACGCGAAAAACATTACCCTCCAGTCAAGTAGAACCTGATTATATTTTACATGATGCCAAAGTAATACATAGGTAAATCTATAGCAAAACAGAACCGCATTATAAGTGATAAACATAAAAACTTGACGTTCAAAACCAGCTATCAAGTTTTTTCTTATTATAATTTATTGTATACTAGCTGTTGTCCGCGACTTCGTCCACGCATTATTATTAGTGAAAATCGAAAAATATTCAGTGAATATCCAGTCGAAATCGGCCCAGTCGTTTCGGGGATTACCTACAACAAACATGGCTTGCGGACAGACAGACAGACAAAAACATTTAAATGAGATTTCCGTTATCAGCAACGCAAATACATAATCGTCCCGAAAACTGGATTTTTTCTTTTGATATTACAAACAGACACTCCAATTTTATTATTATGTAATGTAGAATAGATCAATACACATTGAACTAATAACAAAGTAGCAATTTACAGATACTTTTTGTACCTTATAAGTTATAGTTTTTTGCTTTAGGTAATTAAATAAAAAATGGAATTCAATAAAAACTACAGATTGCTTATTGAATTATAAACGATTTATATAAGTGTAGATTAGCTTGACTTGTTGCTGCGATAAACCAGCGTACATACAGAGTTATACTTTCAATTACGTTTATCAATATAATACGAATTAGTCTAGTATTCACATCGATGAAAATAGGAAACAAGTAAACGTTTAATAAACATCATGTTAACACCGCATCCAAAAACTGTTACCATATTTAAAGAAATAGCAGACACGTTGGTGTTGCTAGCTTGTTTAGGGAAAAGATTATGCATAAGGGTTTGCACAATCCCTATAATAACATCTTATGAATGGATTACTATCAACTCCAACCACGTTATATTAGAAAAAGAAATACTCGTATATCAAGTGTATTGTTTTTCACAGCGCCTGTTGGTAATAAAGAGCAATTCTACAAAAAATTAAATTTGCTAGAAATTGAATTAAATATTTCTTAATGTTAACTTAACAAAAATACACTTTTTTATGATAAGGCTGTTGTAATAAAAAGGTAACATTGCACACACCGACTATTTTCCAGGCTACCATGAAACTAGTAATTTTGAATCTAGTTATCTTAGTACTTCTGTATCGAAGTGAGGGTTTTCCAACTCCCACTTATACAACGAAGTATGACGACGTGAACTTGGATGAAGTGTTGGCGAGTGAGCGCTTATTAACTGGATACGTAAACTGCCTTCTGGACATGGGACCTTGTACTCCTGATGGTAAAGAATTAAAAAGTAAGTAGAAATATTTGCCACAATTTCTGGATTTACCAACAGGCGATGAACCCCTGTTGTTAGGCATAAGCCCACAGATAATATTAAAATCAGTCACCGGTTAGTCCTTGGATAGATCACACGTAAGATTAAAGCATTGGCAATGTTTGAGATTGTTTTTGAATGTACTTTTCAGAAAATTTGCCGGACGCCATCGCAAATGACTGCATGAGTTGCACAGCACGTCAGCGAGAGGGCGCTGACAAGGTGATGCACTACCTTATCGACAACAGATCCGCCGACTGGGACAGGCTTGAACGAAAGTAAGGCTTTGAAATGATTTGTCCATAATACAACTTATCAAAACAGTAGCAACCAGACCCAGAAAAGATAATTAAAATATAGCGTAAAATTGCTCTTTGATAGATGATTGCGTTTATATTAAATAAAAGAAAATCATTTCTTTTTAATTTCTTGTATAAAAGTTAGAGTAGACTTATAAAGTGATTGATTTTGAATCAACTTCATTTTCATAAATTTCAGATATGACTCTGACGGTAGTTACAAAAATAAGTACTTGGAAAGCAAACTAAAGAGAAGCAGAGTTGAAGAAAAAGTTCAATCTCAAGAAAGCATCATAGAGACCGAAAATGACGAATAACAATACGATTGACGAAAAACATAATATACATAGTTTTATTATTATTATAATAAATATTTATAATGACAATGGTGATGATCATATCTCATATTCCACTGGGAAATCTATTTAACCTGAATTTACAATTATAAAATAGCAATTATTACATGTTATATTAAAATACAAATAACCATCCAAATAATACCAGTCTCATCAACACCTTTAAGCTTTTAGAAGCAAGCACAAACATATAGGTTTTGGGTCAAAGAATAAAATGATGAAATAAATTAGCAGTTTATTCAAGTATAACAAGACTTAAAAATACTCGTATGTATAAAAGAGACGATGCAATAGGACACCCTATACGTACAACTTATTTTGCATTTTCATTGAATACAATTATATTGATTAAGAGAACATTTTGACATAAATATTTTTAACAAGTAGGTGTGAAAGAACTTGTGTAAAATTCAAAGCTGTTCCAAAGTATACCTTCTGACTCTAACCGAAGCGCCTGGAGAAATAAATCTGTTTTTAGATTCGTGTAATTCTTCAGGCTCACCTTTAATTTTATATTTAAATTTCTTTCGCTCTGCATCACTATCTGTCTTTGCATTTAATTTCGTTACCATAACGTACCTAGAAATTTATAAAGCTAGAGAATTATTATTGCGTAATCCATTTGATTTTTATCCTCTTCTTGTTGCATGCTTTTTGTCTATTTTTTGACGATTATACCTCGTGAGGAAAACCTTCCATGCGACAGGATCGTGAGCCATCATTGACGCTACAATTTTACCAGCTTTTTCTTTTTGTATTACAGAACAGTTTTCACAGTCGTTCTTTAGTGCTTCTATTAAAATTCCTAAAAAAAAACATAAATTTCACTATAAAACAATCCACTTAGATTCTTGTACAGTCAGCAAAAATAAACATTACAAACTTTTTGTATACAGCTGTATTCGGCATTCGTGTAGCAGTCGGAAGCGAATTCGTGCAAATATATTTTTGATACGGAAGACGTCTACCATTTCCTGAAGCTTAGTATTTAGCCTAAGATACATTTTTGTATATATTTTTTCAACTGAGTACATAAAGAATATTTTTAAATGTCCTTGTTTTACAAATACATGAATAACGATTTATATTTGCAAACGCGGTGAAAATAGCTACAGACAATCGGCTTGGGATAATATTTGACTTTTTACTTCACTAATAGTTAGGTTCTGTTCAAATTTAAGTCCACTAAACAAGTACTACAGGGATCCTATTGTAACGATCAATAAAATAGACTTGGGTACTTCCACTACAGCTTGTAGTGGAAGTACCCAAGTCTATTCAAAAAAAGAAACTATTAACTAACCTTTAATTTCGTACATGTTCTTTGTGCAGTGATTATCAGTTGACATCAAACATTTGACGTCTTGAGGCTGCAGCGGCGGGACTGCTTCGTTTATATTTACTTTGCTCTTCAACACATCCAGTTTCTCTTTCTTCTTAACAACCTCGTTTAGTTCCGCAATGTCGTCTTCGCCGTAAATTATCTTGTATCCCATACTTTTAACACCCGGGCTCATAGTCCTGTCGATACCTCCTATTGTTACTTCAGAGGAAACAGTCCCTAACATAACTGCAATTGCAAAAGATATTGCCAACATTTTAAAGTAACTGTTCGATGTAATTTGTGAATGAAAACGTCTTAATGGACTACGAGCAGCTGACTGTTGCGAAGTCAATGCTGTAATGATAGCAAGTGATGAGGATTATATCAAGAGTAATTGTTGTTACTAGTGAAAATTAACCGAGGTAATCAACCTTAGGTGCGTGCTCGAATGAATTTAGCACTGCTCACAATAAGCCATTGTGTTCAAATGTCACCTTATATAAACTGCTTGCCGATGAAGATCTATCTTGATTGTTTTATAAATAAAATAGAATACAATAACATGTGATTATACTTTGCATGCTGACCAAAATATATTTGTGAATCGAAAAGAAAATCAATTGTTTTGTAAGAAATATATTTAATGTTCTTTATTTCAGAAGACTCTACATTTAATTACAATTATTTTCGTAACATTTCAATATTCAGAGCATACCCATCAAACTTTAGAAAGAATGAATCATATTAGTTTATTTTAATGTTGATCACCCCTGACGTTTACGTATTCGGGGCGCGACTGCCGCTGTAAACAAACAACCTTCGCTCCTTTCGCATACAAATTGCGACAAATACTAAACATTAGTTATTGAATCTGTGATAATGGTTTATTACCGAATTTTACAAATTCCTCCAACACAGGATATACAACAGTTTGCTTTTTATAAACATTTCTGTCGTGACAATCAACACCAAAGCGAAGACTAGGCCAGACGTGGTAATGAAGCGCCTGACGTTTTCTACGGAGCAATAATTAATAATGTTTAACATTTTAATTCCTCATTTTTAGTTTTGCTTATGATAAAAATCCTACAAATAATAAAGGCTCGTGTAAAATTAGTGCAAAATTTTTGATGGCTACAAAAAAGGTATGGTTGTTATCAAGCAGTTTTTTTTTTTATTTTATTTAAAAACGTCACAATGATTAGATTAGCGATAGAGAAATCGGAAACTTGTCTAAGATTTTTAATGTTAGTGTCATGTAGGTTATCGTAATCTCATAGCAACAGGTTGAAATATTTTATAGACGAAGATATGATATCGAACTATTTTTTTAGATAAATAAAAGTAGGTCATAAAAGGTACAGAAAAAACTAATTTGTTTTAAACTATACATTTATTTCTTTAACAATTCCTCCATTTTCTTAGTAGCTATCGCCATATCCATTTTATTAGAAGTTGTTTTAGCTAAAATCCCTAATAACGAATTCAATATTTTCACTTTACCCTCTTTGTATTTCTTAACTAGCTTAGGATTGTCGTCGAGAACTTCTTTACATTTCTGTTCAATAACAATTTCGTCACTTTCTAGCGTCCAACCTTTTTCTATAATAATATCTAATACTGAACAATCGATCTGTCTGTCGAATAGTTCGTCAAGTAATTTTCTATATATGTCTAAATTTATTTGTTTATTCAACAAAGCGTCGGTAAGTTCTCTCATTTGTTTCACAGTTATTGTACAATCTTCGACATTCACCTTCCTCTTGTTAAGTACAGTTAAGAGATCGTTAAGTAAAAGATTGGCTACTTTAGTAGGGTTTCTAGCGACATCTGATACTAATTCATAGAAATATTTCAACAGAGCGGGTTCATTGACGAGTTGAATAGCTGCTATCTCTCTTAAATCGTATGCCTGTATAAGTTTTCTTCTAGAATCTTCTGGAAGTTCAGGTATTGTTTCTTTTATAAGGGGAACGCTTATTACATCTTGTGTATCTTCATTCGAATTTAAATTAACACGAAGCGGTGGTAAGTTTGGCTCTGGCATATACCTATAAAAATTTAAATATGTATTTACTTTTATAAGATCGGAGATACAATATCATTTACTATCGTGTATGTTCATAAGATTACAATTCTTTGGAGGCCTTAAACGATATTTCTTTGACAAGAAATTATATTTAATTCTGATTGATGTTATATACTTATTTGATAAGTACATATAACTTTGTAATAAACTCCTACAATTTTTAATCTATACTAATATAATAAAGCGTAAACACACACTACTTTGTTATCTAAGATGTCAGCAATTACACCATATTTTTGAATAATACTTATTTTAATAATAAGCCCTACACTTGCGTCACGCTTTAGGCTTTTTACTTTAAGGCCATTAAACTTAAATATTTTGGATAAAAATCCTAATGTTGGACAGAGTTGGCACTATAAGTTGCTGCCAACATCAAGGAAGCAAGGCTGTCATCATATCATGTCATTTTGACATTTGTAATTGATAATTTGACAAATGTAAACAATAAAATAAAAATTTCATAATATCATGCTGATGAAGTCGCATGGAAACAGATAGTATCATATAGTTATAGATATTATATAACATTACTTATCTCTCTTTAATCCTGAAACCTTACAAATACATCAGAGGGAACGACAGTAATTATTGTCATGTCTAAACATACTTAATCCTATTAGTTCTTACGTAAACTATCATTGAAAGTTTTAAAATAATGCAAAAATAATTGTAATTGTTATAAAAATGACTTTGCAGGTCAACTAGTATAGTAGTATAAGGTTAAATAGTAAATTTTTTACGTTTATTTAGTTTAATTACGACATGGATGGATACAAAGGTAGAGGACGACCGAAGAAAGTATGGATGGATTGTGTGAAAGAGAATATACTTAAGAACGGAGTGGATTCAGATATGGCTATTCAGGCTGGTAGAGATGATACGGATGATAGAAATATGGAAGAGCAGCACATACTGTGCCGACTCTCCGTAAAAAATAAAGGCAAGTGGATGATGAATTACATTTTGAGCAATAAAATAGTATAATTCATACCGCATAAGGTGCGTATCCGATTTTTATAGTACATTTAGTGAAAAAAAAATATAAAAACCAAAGTTACATAGGTAGTATACATTAAAAATACATAAACATACTGTATCAATCAATATAACTAATCTTACTAACATTACTAAGATGCGAAAGTTTGGATGTACGTATGGTTGTTAATAAGTATGTCTAGAAAGGCTTAACAGATCTCGATGTTTGGTATAAATGTAGAATATAGTCTGATATAGCAGGTATACCACTAATTAAGTTTTTTTAAATCCGTTACGGACGGTGTCGCGGGAGACAACTAGTGAATAATATACCTGTAATCCTGAACTACTTCTTTGTCTCGCATAGCAATAGTAACTTTGTTGGTGGCATCCCACGACCGCGTTTCGTTAATAATGTGTCCGCCATTGTCCAGAATTATTCTCTGTCGTTCTATTTCATGACGAACAGCGCCGGCCACGCCACGCACTGAGCCAATATTTTTAATCTATAAAAAAAATGCAATCACATTAATTAACTTAACTGTACTTATAATAAATACAATAATTGCGTTGGTTACAACTTTAATTATAGAAAACATTAATAAGCGGGTAATTCAATCTTTGTACTTATTACGAACTAACAATCTACTAATAACTTAAAAACACAGTTCCTTGTTAAGTGGGATGTCAGCAATTACAGCATATTAATAATAATACTTGTTTTAATAAAAATCTTCACACTTTCCACAGTCTATAGGCCATATGTATTTTCAAGGTATGTTGTGGGGGTAATTGAGGGGGAAAATAAACAAGAAAAATAGTCATGTGAGAAAGGGACAAAATCTGGAAGCCAATAGGAGCAAAAAAGCAAGATTACAATAGTAACAGTAAGCCAATAGCAAAGACCTTCATTATCATTAGTATATTTAAATTTTGACATTTGCAATTAATAGTTTTACAAAGTTAAACAAAAAAGTAGTGTTTTTAAATACTGAAGAAAAGTTCCTATTTACAAAATACTCACTTCAGTTCTAGTAGATAGAGGTTCCCCGAACTTTCTCAACGAGACATTTGCATCAACTCGTAATGCACCCTCTTCCATACGTCCTGAGCATGCTCCGAGCCTTTGCACAATCAGGACAAGTTCCTTAACTAATGCAGCTGCCTCCTCACCATCCTGCAAGTTACCATAATAAACCTTAACTAAGTATTTATTTAGCACAAAAATTTTTTCATACCGAAATGTTTCTATTCAGCAAAACAAAGGAAAATTGTGTTATGTAGTGGACATGTATAATATTTAACTGAAGAACCAAACTGTTCAGTTTAATCTCTACATTTGTAGGTAAAAAGTTAACCATACAGTTCAACTGACAGTTAAAATCTAGCCTACTAGACTAAGACTGTGCATGACTTGCCTCTAAATCAGGTTCAAATACAAGTTCTATCAAAGGTGCTCCCGCTCTGTTCAGATCGACTAAACTTCTCTTCAACTCACTGTCATGAAGTGATTTTCCACTGTCTTGTTCTAATTGGATTTGCTTTATCTTTGAACTCTTTTTGTAAGGCTTTTTGTGGATACCAGGAGTAAATACCTGAGAACAAAGGAAAGAATGGTGAGTAAAATTGGCATAATAAGAACTTTGTCATCTAACTCCAAGGTATAAATTTTCCGAAAGATAGATACTAAATTGCAAAAATTATATGAAAGTCACTGGCAATATTTTGGCATAATTATTAATATGTTTCATAACCCATATTAGATGTTGTTCCTGAATAACTAAAATAGTTATTAACCTACAAGACATTACTAAAACATTAATGCTATGCCACTACATAAACAAACATACCCTTTAAGACAAATACCTGGAAATGTATAACTCCATCACTAGCTAAAGGAGCTCTTTGTTGTGTTATTTGATACCCAGATGGTAGGTCCGCATAAAAGTAATGTTTTCTATCGAATGATGATACTTCGTTCACTTTACATGAAAGTGCTAACGCTGTTAATACACCAAGTTCTACACATTTTCTGTTTAATACTGGCAATGTACCCGGTATAGCCGCATCAAATAACGATACACAGTTATTCACCAAGCCACCGAAAGTGTTTTGAGCACCAGAAAATAGTTTAGACTCTGTATTCAACTGAGCATGCACTTCTAAACCAACTACGCTTTGCCACTTTGAGTTTACATTAGTTGAATGCTTCCGTTTAATATAATATAAACATCTATTCCACTTTATAACACTCATGTATTTCATTTTTAAATTCTCTAAACAGTAACCTCAACCTAAAACATCGCAAATTGACACTGACAGTTAGTATTAGTCCGTCATGTGTCAAAAGGAAATATTCCTATAAACGCAGAATATTGACACTTTAAAAGAAAATTGCAATGAAAAGTATCAACGATACTGGATCGCATGACATGATCATGATAGACTCCCTAATTTTTTTAAAGTAAATCCTAGAATATTCAAAATCTGTTTATTTAACTAAGTACATACACACCTAATGAATTAGGTCAAATTGTACACTTACGAAAGAAAAGATGTTTTCAATTTATCTATTTCAGTTTATCATAATGCTTATCTACATAATAAATAATTGCGAAAGAAACATTTAAATCCATCTAAATTCACACACATTAACGTAATTGATAAAAATATTTTATTCTTTGAAGACATTTTAAAATGGCTTGTATACTCGAAAGTCAATAGAAAGTATTTCTCGGTTGGATGCGCAGCCTTCAAACGAAAATAAGCTAACCGCATCGAATCCCCTATATGTACTACTTAAACGGATAAAGCTGAAGCAGTTATCTATTAGTCTGCTATGCAAAGAGAAGATATAAACGGAGCACCATGCTAAGCATATTTTATATGTTATAGTATACACGTTCCACAAACAGGTTTATAATGAAGATTTGAAATCTGTGTAAATTAGCAAAGCTACATGTTTAATGATTGGTATGAGACCTGTCTAATGTCACAATTCAGGACATTCAGGTTTTCGCTGATCAACTTCCACATGTTTTTTAATATACTTAATACGAAAATTTATTAGTTTCAAATGTATTGAAATTGAACCACTATCCTTAAGATCGTATTTCCGGCGATTAAGTTAAGCACTGTGCCACTGGCATCGTGTTGACTTATATTGTTTTTTTTTCTAATTAGATAAAGATCACATGGTTTTATAAAAGAAAACGATGAAATTTAAAAATTACATAAATAATAAAATAATGAAACTTACTAAATTGGAATCGGCGTTCTGTGAAGTCTTATAATTGCAGATAAAATTTAAAGATAAATAGCATAATTATATTAAAAATAACACGTTAAAACTTAAAACGATTGCATTGATAATTTGACTAATTAACTTATACCCTAATTTAATGGCTAAAACACTAATTAAAATATCACATTCTTAATTTAAATTAGCCACTTCGATGCCTACATCACTAATCCCGTTACGACCTCGAACAGGAAAGAGAAAAGATACAAAACGACAAAAGCCAGGGTTGCTTCTGCGATTGAATACATTTTTATGTTCGATTAAAATAAAAATATGTTAACTATTAGTACTTCGCGGTAACGCGATTAAAAATAGAAGCAGACGTGCGATCGATATAGCTGTCTGACGAATAATGAAACGTTTCACTACGCAACACAATGTGTACACAAACCTTGACGACCACAACGCTCACCGAATGCAACTAAATAAAAAAAACGTAGCATCTGTTGCGAATCTAAGGGAATTTGTGACAATTACATTTTGCATCATTATTCCAATACACGCCCACAAACTGATAATGCAGTTATATATGTTTGCATCACATACACACCTCTTGGACTTTGTACCTTTGATTTTCTACGTGCCATACGGTATTTTTATAAGACATTTCCTTTCACAACCTTCTTTGATAGATGTATTCTATTAGAAATACGATTACTATTAATGAGATAAAGATAACATTGTGGAAAACTTGATTACAAAGAACATTAGACTTTAGCATTAACGTTTTGTAGAAAACCATTTCAAGAAAAATGTTTTATTTTATCCGATAAGGGAAAAATACAGGTTCTACAATTTTTAACGACCAAATCCAGAGAGCCAATTTACTGCATTAAAAACATCCATGTTTTTCAGCAAGCTATTTTTGGTTTAATTGTATGTTCGGTTTGCCAAAAATGTCAAACGTGCTTGACAAATATTTATTTGACTGCATATACATTTTTTTCGATACCATTTATCCTATTGACTTTAAATAATATTTTAAATACATCAGACCAAGTTTTATACGCAATATTTCCTATCCATTTTAGACCTGTCTATCCTTATTAGATCACTGCAAATATTTTCTAGCCCTTTAAGGAGAAATCCGCTGTTGGTACTTGGTATGGTCTAAGTAAATATTTTTCCTTTTACAACAAAAGAAATGGCGTCTGCCGAATTGTATAATTAACTATTTAAGTTCATCAGATATTTTCATATACTGTTATTAAATAATAACCGCAATAAATACCTAATAATAGTTAGAAACTATTTAGTTATGAAGAAAGTAAATTGTTACTTGGAATTGTACTAATAATTAACCTGTATTGTTTTAAAAAGGCCGGCGTTAGTGAGTCGAGATTAGGCGACAGTCCAGGGCGATGAAATAAAAGGAAAGTTTTTGGAATTTCACAGTCTCACATAATCCTGGGTACACCCTCCAAATGCTAAAAGGGGTCGCCGTAGAATTTGTTCCCTGGGCACTATTAGTACTAAAACCGGTACTGCGTTTATACGCAATGCCAATGCATTTTATTGTTTTATCTGAGACATATGTGGTATGGTTACTCTGATTAAAAAAATATTTAACGATATTTTCTTATAGTGCATCAGTATAGTTTCTAGAAGCACTTCATATTGTAATACTGCCTCTGTCAGTTTAAAATTAAGTTACCGGCATGGCGGTATAAGAACCTGTAGACGTAACCCAGTAGGTAACAAAGACTAAAGATTGACAAAATGCCTCCGTAAATCGATAAGATAAACTTTTTTTTTTATTAAACAACAAGTTTAGTAGCACGTGTGCTGTGTAGTTTAGTCTAGTAATGTGTTAAGGTTAACATACAAATCAGGTTTATGTAAACTGGTCTCATCACCTATGACGCAGAAAATTGACCAAATACGCACGACTTTATAAGTAGCGTATAAATCTATTGAATAATTATTCCGATATTTCTGTAAGATTAATATCTTATTACTTACTAATGTTACAAATATACAAAAGATTAAACTACAATCCTGCTCATAAATCGTGTATCAACACAAAATGGTGTCCTTTTCTGACACTGTACAATTGAGTGCAAAGTCCCACTCACTCTTCGTGATCATTCGTTTTATATCATTGTTAAGATTTCTTTGTTGAAAATGTTCTTTATCAGCGCGAACACGATCTTCAGAATTAATACAGATAGTATATGTTTCACTGACAAACTAACTGCAGGTACATACCTAATTATTCATATTTAAAATTGTAATTGTATGCAAAAATTTGAAAACAAGCAAAAACTAAAAACTACATTGAAACAAGTTTCAGAATTATTATTTCTATACTAAAAACTTAAATAGTTATTTGAAAATATTAATATAATGCTTCAAATATACATAAGCATGTTTTATAAAATTTTCTTGGTATTCAAAAATTCTAAAGAACATAATATAAGTAACATACAAGAATTATGTTAAATTTCGATTTAATAAATGGATTCAGTTTAAGCATTGTTTTGAGAACAATGTAGATCACGATAGAGGAGGTTAATTATTCTTCGACCAAAACGAGGCCATGTCTTGGTAGTAATTTTGTAAATTAAACTACATGGTTATGTACCTGCCAGTTCTATAATAAGTAACTGATGAGCTGTCATGTTTGGCTTATATCCATCCTCACCACTAGGCTAGCTTCTCGCGGAATTTTCCCCAGCTACCTTTTAGAAGCATCTGTGCATCTGTTCTCGGCAGTTTTTTTCAAACCAGTACGACTTCTGATGCTTTCTCTTCTTTTCCTTTTCTTCTTTCTTAGGGACTTTGTCTCTTTCTCAAAGGCCCGCAACGCATCTGCAATTCCTCTTGTGTTGCAGATATCCATGGGCGTCGATTAACTCTGCGATAAAACCGCCTTTCGTTTACTCCCTTATTATAAAAAAAACATATTGCTACTTATTTATAAATATTGATACATTATAAAACCAACTATCAAATCATTTTCATATTAATACATTGTATTTCTTTTCGACCAAAAAGTTGAAGGCTCGCCAGAGTTATCAAGGTTTTATTTAATGTATTTAATCAATAAATCCAATTTATCAGATTAAATAAATGATATTTGAGTGAGCTTCAATATATTACGGATATTTATGATTAGTAATGCTAGCAGTCATGAGTTTGCGATGTTTTTTATTCCGGATGTAGATAAACATTCTATTTTACCTAGAGTATTTAAAACATGTTTCTCTGTTTTTTTTTTACCAAAATTGCGATGGCAAAATAATTTAGTCAACCTTAATGAGAACAGGTTGATGCTTGCTGGTGTGAACTTTTTTTTGTCCGATTTAAAAGCATATTGATGTTATTGACAACTTCTAATCCTCATAACCGCCACAAACGGTTACCGTTACATGCAAAACTATATAGAGATCAGTTTTAGTATTGTATTGATATAGCCAGTAGAAACTCGGATTAAAAAAATAATTGGCCACTAACATTAAAGGTAAAACTTTAAAAAACATTGTACTTAAATTAAATAAAACGTATTATCTAGTATAAAATATCATGACGATTATGTAATATATCTCTATAGTAGCCTCTCTCTAGATTTCTAGAACGTTCGCTCTCAGTCTACTGCGGAAACTCATGTGGTTTTTACATTATGACGTCAGAGTTAAGTACATAATCGATAATTGTACTGTACGATGGAACTATTTGCACATATCGGAGTAAGTGTTGTGTGTAAGCAGTAAGCAAAATGTTTGAAGAGACATAAAAACTAATTTGTTACTAGCACTTGTTCCATGTCTCCTAAGGAATACTCATTATAACGTTAAATGCAGGCCAATAATACTTCCTGGCATAGACAAACAACTCAACAAAAACATTTTTGAAGAATCGATTGTATTGAATATACAAATATTATATTCTGATTTAACGGACTTTTATTTGCTCAATTAAAAATAATAACATAACTAACATTATTCATGCATCACGCAAACAAAATATTCCATAAAATCGG